ATGTCCAATTACAATACTTTTTTGCATGTTTTTATAAAACTAATATTAAAAATTCAAATATTCTTATTTTTAGGTAAACGTACATAAAGTTTAAACAAAAAAACTATCCTTTTTATTTATTTATAAAGAAAAAAACTAAAACTAGTATGTGGTTTACCCTATATAATATATATGACGTCACAAGCCATTGCCAACTCCAAAAGTGCAGGCTCTACGTGGTAAACACAAAGGCGTACACCTGGTTGCCTATTTTGTTTACAAGTTAATCTAATAATAAAAAGTTTTTTTGTAAAAACTTTGTTTATTTTGACCCAACCTTGAAGATAGATCTATATTCTTGAATTATTATTCCCTAAATGTACCTATTTTGCGTGAAAAAACAACAGACCCTTGTAAATACGGATTTTTTGTTGATCTACGGAAATTTTGACATTTGTTGACGGATTTCAATTTTTTTTGAACGGCAACACCGCCGACCGACGACGATGGTTGTTGGGTATCGCCGCGACAAGGTCGTTAGCTCTTGAGAACGTTCACACCGCGTACAAACGTAGTTGTGCTAGGGTAGGGCGGTTCAAGAGTACGCAGGGACAAAGAAACTGTCCAAAACGCTTTTAATATTATGTATCAAGTTTTTGCACCTTTTTAACCTCACTTTTTCCCAAATTATAATAAAGCCAACTTCAGCTCGTGACTAAAAAGCTTAAAAGCCACTGTTTCTCACTATAGCCCTTGACTAAAACGCTATAAAGTCACAGCTCGTCAATGTAGATAAAATACAGAAATGGGTGAATCTCACGAAATGTTACCCCGTGATATTTAATAAAACTAAATGAGTTTGACCTACACTTTTATTGTGTTTTGATCTTTCATAATTAAGTAGATATTACAGCTCAGGTTCCAGATTTTTAACCGCAATTAATTATTTTTTACAATGTTTTAAAAGTCTAAAACCTATCCTCCGTGACTGTTACTCTTTCTAGGTTAACCCATATGTTTTCAAATATCTGAGGTAGTAAAAGCATACTAAAAATATCAGTTCATTAAGAAAATTAAACACATCCAAAGCAATCGAATCAAATATGAAATATTATTAAAAATTAAAAGAAATACCTAGTTTTTATAACCATTTATGTAGGTGTTACAAAAATTGATTCTATCCTCCGTGAATCTGTTTTTGCTTTAAATTTTAAGCAACGGATGGCGCTTTAATCATTTTAAATAAGCAAAAACCTCTGTTTACTACATTATAGATGCATGTGATTCCTGAAGGTCAGTTAGAATTTATATGCAGATAAGAGTGTTGCTGTTTTATAATTCAAAAGTTTAAGTTCATTAATTTGCTATTTAAAACCCATACACTTTGAAGTGTAATATCTCAGTAAGTAGATTTTTTTTATAAATATTTTATGTACAATTGTATTTTTTTTAAATATTAAGGTGTCAAAAGATACAATAACTTATTTTAAATATACAAAGGGATGTTTAAAAAACATGAAATCCTAACCTCCGTGAAGCTATCTTCCGTGAAGCTATCTTCCGTGAAGCTCTAATGTTCAAAATGTATGATTTCTTAAAATTCTTGCATTAGTGCAGAACAACTTATGCTATGTTATGGGTTCCCAAGAACTCCATTCTAGACTAACAGTGAAACAACCAAAACTAACCCGATCCAAATGTGTTGTTTTGAGTAAGAATTTTTTTTAAAGTTTGTAAAATGTTGCCGCATTATAAGGTGAAACTACATGGGTTATTCTCAAAATAACTACAATCTTTGCGTGACGTGTGTTTTTTTCTCCCATATTAAAAAAAAATGGTAAAAATAAGTAACATTTTTAAAGTACACAACGTTAACTAACAGTACTTTAAGTAAAAAAAAAATAAGAAAAAAAAATACCGCCCAAAAAACTGATCTGAATAGAGATATTGTCCTTTCCGTGGAACGTGACTATATCGTGTTGGTAAGTTTCAGTTAATGTAGTGAAAAGCCTGCATATTAAAAAAACCTAAAAAATTGCCATTATTATTAAATACCCCAAAAATACATAGATATGGTTCATATTCCTTTTTATTCTTTTTAATTTAATATTGTAGTTTAGTCATTTATACGTTACCAGTTTCGATCCATTCCGAGGACTTATTTGTAAGTGCAAAATTTCAAAAGTATTTCGCGCCACTCACGTCAACCGTTAATTTTATGTCATTAAAAAACCTGTCATTTGTTATTTAAGTCGCCCTTGTCAGTTCTTTTTTGAAAGGTTGTAAAGAAGCGTTCATGTTTATGTACGAGGCTCCAGTGTAGAAGCATAGGCTGTCCTTTCTGTTACAATTATATTTCAAACAGTAAGTATTGAATTATTTTCTAATTATTGTCATTATTATTGTCAAAGTTTTTATTTTTGGCACATGACAAATGCGAAGGCATAACGTAAAATTTACCTTTCTTATAGAGAATAATATACATAGATGTCCATTCAGTGGACGTCTTTTCTGTGGACATAATTTACCCATAAATAGAAAAATTAAGGTTTGCATGCAATATCAATCTTATTTTAGTTTAGGATTTAACTAAAGCTTTACAAAAATGCTCTTGTAATAATATTACCAAACTTTTTAGTATTAAAAAAATAATAAACCGAAAGTGTAGTTATTTTGAGAATCACCCACATGTCACATAAAAGGCTCATGTGCATTTGTGGAAATTATCGGGACTGCGCGCTCTTGTGAAACCCTACCCTACATCAAGCGCTCTGGGTTCGGATGACCACCTTGCCGTTGCCGTGTCAACGTTCCAGCTTTAGACACTTGTTATTGTTGTTGTCGTCGTTTGACAAGGTGTCACCGCTTTTGTTTTGTTTATAAGTTGTTGCTTTATGATTGACTATGTTCCAAATTAAGTAAATTATATGTGTACTGCGTATGAACTACGGCTATATGGGAAAGACAAAGCATTGTTGTCTTTTCGGGTTATCGGCTTTGTTTTTGTACTAAAATATAAAAGCAGAAAATGCGTTGAACATGGTCAAAAATTTTGGTTTTATTTTATAATCTTTATTATTTATTAAATAGGTAGTATATTTTTTTAATTATCTATAATATAGTTATTATATTAAAAAGTAAACATTTATGTTTTTTAATTTAAAAAAATAAATCAATAAATATTTTCACCCAAGTTCAATGTTAGGGGTAATTATTTTACAATGAAACTAAAGAAAGTTATAAATCAATTGATTTCAAGTATTCTGCTTTTCAATCATACAAAAAAAAACAGCAAAGATTTTTGATATAATTAACATGGTAGTAATTTTATCTGTTATTTTTTAATTATATCTTTGTTATAGGTACGTTTACCTTCTGAATTTATTTTTTCATAATATATTTACAAGCAAAAATACTGTCTATTTTTATTCATATTTTAAATCAGTCGTTATCGACTGATATAAATTATATCAACCGATTTAGGTACATTTTAGATTATTTTATTGGCTAAAAAACAAATCTAGTAAACCATGACTTATATTAGCGAAATTATTTTCTATGGTTAAAAACAAATTTCACAAATGTCAATAAATCTTGATGAAATTTTAATTATTTTATGTCTTATTCAAAATGTCACTGTATAGAAATCGACATTTTTATGGAAAAAATAAACGTTGAAAGATAATTACCCAATTTATTTTTATACAGAAAAATACGGCGTTTCCATGTCGTGCAAAAACCTATATCCACTGATATGCTTAAATCAGTTGATATAAATAAATCAACGTTCCTGCATACGGCCCTATAACTTGCTTTAAAATATAACATCTTTAAGTTAATATTTGTGGTATAAAATATTATATAATACAACCCAAAAACAAAAGCAGAAACAGTCCTTAATTCATATAATTCCAGTAAAATTCTTCATCTTTAATTCCATCACCTCCGTCGTTATTTTTGGTTTAAATTATGGGCAAATGATTGAACGGTGTGCAATATTAATTAGAAGAAATTATTTTCATTGTTAAAGCAATTATTCACCTACTTTATGACCTTATTTAGATGATTATGTATTGCAGCAATACGGTATTAAAGAGAAATTGCCGTGGATAATTGATTTTTAATTAATTAAATATTTTATTTATAGTTTTTAATATAATTTTATCTATTTTGCGTTCATAATGACTTCATTATAACACCGCTTTCGGTGCTGTAATGAGATACTTTATCCCACCCAAAATTTTGATTTTATAGGTTGGCTACACTTTAAACAGCATAATATTTTGCATATTGGTTATAATATATCTTTTTTCGTTTTGGAGTTATGATTTTTTGAAAATAAAGAACCGTACTTCGAGGAATAAAAGTGTGTAAAATAAGAGTAATAAAGGACAAAAGATCATTTTAATTGTTAAAAACAATAAACATAAACAATAAACATTCATTATTATCTAATTTCCAATTACAATTTCCAAGTACGTTCTTTACGTTAATTATTTATTTGCTTATAAATTGTTAGACACGGATTGGTCGGGGTTACCGGTCTCTAACGCAGCAGGTCCGGGTTCAATTCTCGGTGAAGAAATACTTTTTTTTTCTCTCGAAAATACTTAATTTTAGAAAAAGTGGCTTTTTTATTGTCAAATTAACTTGATACAATAAAATAAACGATATTCTAGCGCAAAATTACTTAAAAAATAAAAATTGTCACCAAATGGTTCATTTCTACCAAAAATAAATCAAATAAACAATTATGAGTACGGTAGAGTAGCGAATATTCTACTGTTTTTAATGTTTTATAATAATGCGGCTTATTTGTAATAACGCGGTGTAAAGCCTACAAAAGACAAGGCGTGGCGCGCTCAAAGCATGCCGCTCTTTAGGCGCGTGCCGAAAGAAAATTGTTATCTTTCTTTTGAAATTATCACTGTCTCTTCCTCTCTCTCTATCTCTCTCGCATTCCCTAGTTTATAAGATGATTTTTTAAATTTAAAGTAATGGTGGTTATTTGTTGTTTTCAGAACGGGGACCTTTGCATCAGCATTCTGCACCCGCCCGTAGACGACCCGCAGTCGGGCGAGCTGCCTTGCGAGCGCTGGAACCCCACGCAAAACGTGCGCACCATCCTGCTCAGCGTGATCTCGCTGCTGAACGAGCCCAACACTTACAGTCCTGCGAACGTGGACGCCTCCGTGATGTACAGACGCTGGCGGGACTCGAAGGGCCGCGACAAGGAGTACGAGAACATCATCAGGTACGTACACGTGAAATTGGCACGGAATAATGTTAGTCCCGTCAAACCGTCGTTTGACCTTGCGTGCTGAGGCACTGCGTGTTTTTTCATGAATTGATGGGAGCTTATTTGAGCAGCACTAAATAGGTATCAATATTTATTTGCTCTAAGATTTACTTTTACAGCTCTACGAAGATAAAACCATAGATTAATAACTTAAAACTCGAGATAACCTAAATCTTCTTCTTCTTTGCTTTGTTCGGCTTTTCCCTTCCAGGATTTGGCCCGCTGAATCTTCTCAACTTGACAACCATTCAATAATTTAAACATAACCACTATTACATTATAATTACATTTATAACTAGTTTAGTTTGTTTTAATCAATGCAACCAATTTTTCACGGTGTGCCTGAACGAAGTTTAAGTCACATAAAAATGCCGCCAAAAACTGACTGCAGTTTCTTGTTCGGGACCCTTTGGTGACTTAAAAATGATATTTACCAAAATCCTAGCTGTTCCTCTTTTCGAATTTTTTTGAAAATTCATGATTTTTTTTTAAATTTTTGTTTATTTTAAAGTCTAATTTTGACAAAGTACACATTTGTACACCTATTTTTATAAAATTAGAGTATATTATTGAGGAGACTTAAAGAATACTTTTTAATACTGTTCACATCATTTGATATATATATAGGGTGAGCCAAATATCGCTTATTTTTAATAAAGCAAAAGCGTAAATTCATGATTTTGGCATAACACGCAAAAAAGATTTATCCCCATTTTTTTTTAGATATTTCTACGTTTATCAGGTTACAAAATGGCGTTCTTATTAACCTTTTATAAAAAAATAGATTTTTAATAAAACTAAATAAAAATAACGCTTAGAGAATATTTAAAATGTTGTTTAATTTAGGCTTTTTAGTAGTTTTCAATTTTGAACGAAAAACTGGTTAAAGTTTTTTGATCGGCACTCTTTGGAGATTTAAAAACGATATTTACCAAAAGTCTAACTGCTTTTTTTAAATTTGGCGAAAAATCATTTTTTTTTTGTTTATCGCAAAGTCTACCTTTGCCAGAGTACGTACACATTTGTACACCGATTTTTATTGATTGCAGTTTCTTGTTCGGGACCCTTTGGTAACTTTAAAATGAAATTTACCAAAATCCTAGCTGCTCCTCTTTTTTAATTTTTTTTTTAAATTTTTGTTTATCTTACCTTTGACAGAGTACACATTTGTACACCGATTTTTATAATATTGGACTGTATTGTTAACGAGACTTGGAGAATACTGTTTTCATACTGAGCACATCATTAGATTTATACAGGGTGAGCCAAAAATCACTTTTTTATATAGTAAAAAGCATAATGCACAAAAAAGATTTATTTAAAAAAACATGGGTGGGTATATATCTTTTTTGCGTAAATTCATTATTTAGGCATAAATGCCTAAATCATGAATTTACGCTTTTGCTTTATTAAAAGAAGCGATTTTTGGCTATATTAAATGATGTGAACAGTATTAAAAAGTATTCTTTAAATCTCCTCAATAATATACTCTAATTTTATAAAAATCGGTGTACAAATGTGTACTCTGTCAAAGGAAGACTTTGAAATAAACAAAAATTAAAAAAAAAATATAAATTTTCAGCAGCTAGGATTTTGGTAAATATCATTTTTAAGTCACCAAAGGGTCCCGAACAAGAAACTGCAATCAGCTTTTGGCATCATTTTTATGTAGGGTTGGGAAAATTTCACTTTTTGCTTGTACTTGAAATTTCACTTGAAATTTTCATGACATTTATGAAATTTATTGAAACTTTTAATAAATTTCAATCACTTTAAGTGTTACACTGTGTAATATATTAATATTGAAATAAGCCCACTCAGGGACCATGGCAAATTGCCTCTCTTACCTCCTACCCCTCTGTGGGCCCCTGCACCAATAATATAAATATTTAAATAGTAAATACCTATGTTTACCACAAATTTCTTGAGATTTCCTTTTAAAATATTTTTAAAATTACTAAAACTAAAAGAGATATAGCACTTTTTGGTAAGCTAACTAGATTGTGCCACTTTCATTGTTTTATATTTATATATATTTATTATTTTTAAATATTTTACTGAAATTTTACGAAAATTGTAGAAACTTTATCAAAATTTTATGAGCCAAAGGCAATTTTTATCTGTTTTTCGATGCAATTATAGCAAAAGTAAAAGTTTAAATTAATCATGACTTTAAAAAAAAAATTTAAAGTCTGATTTAATTTACAAATTAAATTGGTAACTGAATTAAATTATTTAAATTAATTTATGCATATAAGTAACAATAATTACTTATAGTGTATTCAAATCCAAGCCGAACTAAACAAAAACGCCCAGACGCTTGATAACTCGTTCTTATTGGTCGATTCGGAATCTGTTGTAAATTATTATTAAAGGTCCCAAGGGGAGGCCGCATGTGAAATTTATGCGAAATTTTCAGTAAATTGCGAAACTTTCAATGAAATTTCTGAAACTTTCACAGGCAATGTTGAAATTTTCGGATTGAAAATTTCATTTGAAATTTTTGAAAATTTCACTTTTCCAAATGAAATATTTCAAGTTTGAAACTTTCAAAGTTGAAATTTTCATTTGAAAATTTCAACTGTCCCAACCCTATTTTCATGTGACTTAAACTTCGTTCAGGCACACCGTGTTTTGTTCCGTATTTACCAACCAAACCCCTAAATTTGCAACGTTGCCGCAGTTCAGAAAAAAAAAGAACTTTATCTATTTTGGTTTCATAATGACTTCATTATAACATTGCTTTTGGTTCTTTAATGAGGTACTTTATTCCACCCAAAATTTTGATTTTATAGGTTGGCTACTGGTAAAATACAATTTTGAATACCTATAGGTTATAATATTTTTATGATTTGTTTTCTAGTACTTACGAGACTTTTCGTGCAATAAATTTTGTTTAACACCAAAGAAAATCCTTTTTTCTTCTTTAACAGCCGCTTATTGTAAATACTTATTGTAAATTAACGACGCCATAGCGAAAGAATGTGATAATGTTTGAAAGGTTAATGACCTTTCAAACTTCAAACTGTGATACCAACTATGTAAAGTAAAATTCCACCAATTTAAATATAAGGTATAAAATTAATTTGTTTTATGAAATGTTTGCAAAATAGATAAAATAGCATAAAGAACTCATGACATAAGACCTTTTGTCGCACTTGTCCATTATAAAACTCGCTCCTTCGTCGCTCGTTTTATAAATTGTCCGCGTGCGACAAAATGACGTCTTATGACATTAGTTCTTTAATATACTATTATGTGGTTCCAATCAAAGATAATATTATCTTTGGTTTCAATGTGTGAAATTTTCAGGAAGCAGGCGATGGCGGCGCGCGCCGAGGCGGAACGCGACGGCATCCGGGTGCCTCTGACGCTCGAGGACTACTGCATCAAGACGCACGTGAAGCCGGCCGCCAGCGACTCGCAGGTCGAGATGACGGACTTTTACGACGACGACTACGACGACGACGACGACTACGACGACGACCTGTCGGCCGGCAGCGACTACGCCGACGAAGACCGCGACGCCGACGACAGCGGCAACGGCGAGTCGTGATCCCTGCACACTTTTAGTCCGCATGTAGAGTTTTAAATTAAAAACGAAACGACAAAAAAATCAACAAAAACAACTGAGTTCTCTGCCCAGCGCGGTAACCGCCCGCGGTCTTGCGAAATTTGACGAACTTTTTCAGGAAATATCGGAAACTTCTTCGGGTTCAATATTTTTCCCCATCACCATCATTCTTCACCATATCTTCATCATTTGAAACGACTATTTTTTTTCTACACCAAAACTCCAAAATATGGTCCAAAACATCGAAAAAAAACTCACTTAAAGTTTGAGCCCTTAATTTTCATTTTTTCATTTTGAATTTTTCCCATTTAAAAGTCGTTTTTTTTTTACTTTTTTCGCATACTTTTGAAAATATAAAGAGAATGGAAAATTTCCAAGGAAAAAGTTGTATAAAATTAAATCTTCCACAAAAAGTCCTCACGTTTATATCGCTAAAGTTACAACATATGAGCAATTAATATTTAAAAAATTGTGTTTTATTGAGATTAATATGCCTTAAATTCAATTCCATAACGTTAAAAATGAAAAAAATTGATACCCAATTAATTTTCATGGTTGTTAATTATGAATTTTTGTTGTGTAAAAAATTTAGGGTCACTTCTACACCGCTACAAATATCTCAATAAAACACGATTTTTAAATATAAAATTGCTCATATCTTGTAAACTGTGCACTTAAACAAAATAAACGTAAGGACTTTTTTTGAAGAAAATTAAAATTTCTACAACTTTTCTCCTGGAATTTTTTCGGTGATACAAGCCTTTCTCCTAATATTTTCATAAATATGTAAAAAATTTAAAAAAAGACAAACTTTGGGGTAATTTTTTTTTCGATGTTTTGAACATTATTTTGGAGTTTCGGTGAAAAAAAATAGTCGTCAAAATAACGAAAAAATTCAGGCAACATTTCAGACATATTTTTTGATTATTTCCCATATTTCCGTCAACCTTCGGAAATTTCCAACGTACCGTGGTGTATATTTTTTTCTTTATCCGGACAAGAGTACATTTTCTATATATTTTTGTTCACCGATTCTATAAAAAAAATCAATCAATTTATTTTAAATGATTTTAAGAGGAAGTTTTTATTTTTATCAACTTATTTTTCAAAAAACTACAGTAAATATAATCTTGTCCTCTTTTTTTAGTTTAACTTTTACGGTCTAACGAGTTTTTTTAGCTTTAGCTTAATCCTAAAAGGACTAGGCCTAGCTAAATAATTTAAATGGTATATTTCTCTTTTTTAAATTTTTTTTAGATTTGGTTATTATTTTAAAATGTCGTTTTTCCTAATTCAAAAAAATATATTTAGATGGTCTAGTAACTTACTTTTGGGTCATTTTGGACAGTACCGTTAAATTTTGAGTAATTTTTAGACAGTTTTGTATTAAAATCACAATAACAAGTTGTATAAAAACTATCTAAACATCACCCTTCACAATTTGAGTAATTTTAGACAGTTTTAATACAATTTATGTCATTTTCTACAGTTCTAATCCAGTATGGGGTCATTTTAGACAGTTATTATACAATTTGGGTCATTTTTAGACATTTTAATACAATTTGGGTCATCTTAGACAGTTCTACTACAGTGTGGGTCATTTCAGACAGTTTTTATACAATTTGGGTCATTTTCCAGTCATTTTTAATGCAGTTGGTAATTTTAGACCGCTTATACAATTTTAATATAATTTGGGTCATTTTAGACAGTTCTAATGCGGTGGTAATTTAAACAATTTGGTTAATTTTTAGACGGTTTTAATACAATTTATGTCATTTTAGACAGTTCTAATCCAGTGTAAGGTCATTTTAGACAGTTATTATACAGTTTGAGTCATTTTTAGACAGTTCTAATACAGTTTGGGTCATTTCAGACTGTTTTTATACAATTTGGGTCATTTTAGACAATTCTACAAAGTGTGGACTTTTTTAAACAGTTCCTTTACAATTTGGGTCAAATTTTATAAAAACTGTCTAAAAATGACACTACAATTTGGGTCATTTTAGACAGTTCTAATGCAGTGGTAATTTGAACAATTTGGCTTATTTTACAGTTTTAATACAGCTTAGTTCATTTTAGACAGTTCTTTGATAATTTTTAGACTCCTTATAATTTGGATCATTTTTTAGACATTTTAATACAATTTGGTTCATTTTGTATTCTAAATAATAATAATAATAAACAACTTTGTCCTATTAATTATATAAAATCAAAAAATTAAAAATAAAGTTACCTACTTCTCCCTTTAATCGATTTTATTTTCCCAATTTTTGGACAACCTGTAGATAAAACCAATTTTTATTTACTCAATCCAGGGACACACTGTATATCCAATTTTTTTTTATCCCAGTACATTACTATTTTCCCTGGCTTCTATATATTTTGTGACATGGTTTATATTTAAACTTGCGAATTAGGAAAAACGTTTTTAAAAAAAAATATTGTGGTCAATACTTATTATTAATTAAATACGAAAATGCCTCGAGAAAACTCTATATTCTGTAAAAATCGTCAAAATTTAAAAAACCGTGGCTGTAAGTGCAAAACGTTAGAATAGCATTAAAACTAATAAATGTTACAATAACTATTTGAATTACCAGTATGAAATAAATTAAAAACTAAAAAAACAAACAAAATACATTTCGCAATATTTTATTATTTTTATTTCTAAAGTAAAATTTAAGAATATATCCTTTTTTATTACTTTATTTGATGCATAAGATTTTTATTTTTACATCTTGAATAGCCAAACAGAAAATTCTCATTAGAGGAAATATTTTTTTACGTACTATATAGATTTAGTCTAGATTTACTTTAATTAATTTTCAAATACCAAAACATTATTTTTCGCAATTATATATCGTTTTATTTGGGTCTCATGTATTTAAAACAAACAAAAAAATTGTGTAAATATTTATTATTATTATTCCATCTTCGTTCAAAATTAAAATAAACTGTATATAGTACTGAATTTCTCAAGTTAATAATGAATAAACTATTATTTAAAAGTAGAGCTAAGATTAGGTTTATCAATTAGTTTATCATTGTACATATTTTATAGAACTGTGTATTATTTATTTAGACTACGATTTTAATAAAAAATACAAGATTTATAAATGTAAGGCATGATACTAGGATTGTGAAGTTAAATCCGTTAGGCATGGCTTAAAACTGGAAGAACCTCTTTAAAACCAGTTTTATTTTTGTTTTAAGCGTTTATTTAGGTACAATTTTTAGTGTGACTACCTTTAAAAACAATTGTGTTATTTTTAGTAATTTTGCTAATTTGCAGCAATAATTTACTATTGTCTGGAATTTTGTCAGGTTCTCATAAAGAATTGTGTGGAATTATTCCGTTTAATAAATGTTTTGCAAATACCTAATTATTTTTTTATTTAAAAACTTTTTTCTGCTATTTTTGACATTTGTTTTCTTTTACTTTAATTTTTTTACTTGTCATTTTTTAAACTCTCCTGTTACTTTTGAGATTTTAATTCTTGAAATTTTTTTTTCATTAATTTAAATTTTTAGACATCTGTCAATTTTGACGTATTTTATTATTGACACGTTTCGTACTTAGAACATTTCGAACTTTTTCTGTCAACTTAAATTTTTTTACCTGTCATTTTTCACATTTGTTTTTTGTCAATTTTACAACTTTCCTGTCACTTTTGACATCTGTCATTTGTCATTCTTGGCATTTGTTTTCCGTTATATTTGACACCTGTCAACTATAATTTTTTGACGTTTTTTATTATTGACACCTTTTGTAATTAAAACAATTTGAACTTTTTTCTGTCAACTTAATTTTTTAGACATCTGTCATTTGTCATTCTTGACATTTGTTTTTTGTTATATTTGACAGCTGTCAACTATAATTTGTAGACATTTTTCACTTTTGACGTCTTTAATTATTGACACCTTTTGTAATTAAAACAATTCGAACCTTTTTCTGTCAACTTAATTTTTTAGACATTTGTCATTCTTGACATTTGTTTTTCGTTATATTTGCCACTTGTTAACTATAATTTTTAGACATCTGTCACTTTTGACGTCTTTTATTATTGACACCTTTTGTAATTCGAACTTTTTTCTGTCAACTTTATTTTTTTTACTGTCATTTTTTACATTTGTTTTTTGTCATTTTTACATCTGTCCTGTCACTTTTGACATCTGTCATTTGTCATTCTTAACATTTGTTTTTCGTTATATTTGACACCTGTTAACTATAATTTTCAGACATCTGTTACTTTTGATCTCTTTTATTATTGACTCCTTTTGTAATTGAAACGATTCAAGCTTTTTTCTATCAACTTTAATTTTTTTACTCTGTCATTTTTTACATTTGTCTTTTGTCAAATGACATTAGTTTTTCGTTATATGTGACACGTTTTGACTTTAATTTTTAGACATCTATCACTTTTGACGGCTTTTATTATTGACACCTGTCGAAATCATTCAATCAATTTCTGTCATAGGTTGTTTGTGCTATAGACCTATCTCATAAAACGGACTTTTGGATAGCGCGTGCGTGAAAAGCACGTCGTCTTTTTTTAATTATATAAAAGAGAAAGAGATACCACTCTTCTTCAGGCACGCGCTATCCAAAAGTCTGTTTTATGGGATAGGTCTATTCTTTTCTGTCATATTTGAGTCTTTTATATTTGACACCTGTCATCTAATTAATTTTAAACGTTTTTGTTTCATTTCTAAAACAACAATTAAAATTATAATGAGAATTACAATTCAAAACGCAAAGTATTTTATGGTAGGCAACTCACAAAACACGTGTATTGTTTATTCCCTATAATAGAGAGACAATTATTACACAGGATAAAGTAGAATTTTTTCTGTATAAGAACTCCATTTGCTTAAAAAATTGACCACTTTAATTAATTAATTAATTAAAACATTGTAATGTTGAACATCTTCGATTTGGGTAATTTTAGCACAATCCGGCAACGGCGTACTCGTGGCAGTTAAGCTCCATTTATTCGAGCGATCAAAATCCATAAATTGTTGACGTGTAGTGACGTGGAGCGCTCGCCTAAAACTCGTGTGCGTTTCGGTACCAACAGCTGACGTTTATTATTTTAGTTCGGAATCCAGAGTTTCGATTTATTTGTTCTTTTTCCGTTAACTATTTATATCTTTTGCCTGTTTCAATCATGTCCGGTCAGTGGGAAGTCGTAGTCGGCAAAAAAAGCAAGCCAAGCAAATTGCCCGTCTTAAAAAATAGCGAAAAGCACGAGAATAAAAAGAAGAACGTTTTAAATGGTGTAAAAATCGAAGAAGTATGTAAGTACCGGTTTATAAATTAGGAGTAGTGATGAAGTTTAATTAAACTGGGTTTTAGTGCCCAAATCTCAAGTGGAGAATATCTATGGAAGCGTTAAAAATAAGGAAAACAATAAACCAAAAGAAAAAAGCAACAAAACTCAGGATGCTAAGAAACCTCAGAAAAAAGTCGAGAAAACTCAGGAAGCTCCCAAACCTAAACCTCCCAAATCCATTGAAAGTGCCCTTACCTCTGTAAGTATTAAATTCGGAAAAAGTGAGGTTAAGTCGATCTGACAGATGTCGGATTGGTAAAAAGTGAGGTTAAATCGCTTGGAAGTTGTCAGATGTGGTTAAAAAATTCGCACTGTAGTTCAAAATTAAAAAAATAGTCACAAAAATTAAAAATTAGTGGAGAACATTCACACAGTAGTTAAAAATAGGTATTTTTTTAGATAAATGTAGAAGAATTTGTACAAATTTACGAAAAAAACAGAACCTTATACCCGGACACACCTATTGTGTGGCTGAAAGAGTTGGTGCAATTTTTAAACCAAAAAGTGCCAATTGAGCTGGCCGATCCTGTTTTTACAAACAAACAGCAAGGTTATCCACTGAACGTGGTTCCACTGCCAATAAAGACTGTCATCGAGAAATCGGTTAAAGAAACTGGCAAAAGCAACATCCAATTGTTTTTCGATATTGCTTTGACCTCCATGACGACTGAAATGAGCAAAGGTCTTCCAGCATTGGGATGGAAATTTTTCCTCCAATACATTGCAACAATCGAGCCTAAGTTGGTTGTGACCAGCATCAGCAAACACATAGTTTTAAGGAATTCCTATCAAAATAGGTCCAATGTGGGGCTTTCCATTTTATGGGCTGTTGGTCAAGTTGGATTTGCTGATTTTAATTCTGGGCTTAGAGGTAAGTTTTGTCCTTTACATATTTATTTTGCAGGGACCAAGACTTGAAAGTTTCACTCAAATTTACTCTTTTAAAGTAAAGAATGACTTTAAAATTTAACAAATAATTTCAGATTTTTTAACAGCACAGAATCCAAGATAACTTGGAAATCTCAAAAAACAATTTTTAAGAACTTTTTAAAACTGTCATTTCAAATTTCGTGCTGCCAACTTAAGAGGCACAAAAATATGACAGTTTTAAACCTTAATTTTGCCATTATAACAACAAATTACCAATTTATGTTGTTACTTAATTACTTTTAATGTCGTTTTTAATTTTTAATGATACTTTAATTCGAAATAAAGTAGTAATTTGTTAATTAAAAACAACGTTTTATTTTTACTGAATTGGCACCGCTGAATTTGTTGCCATGGCCTACTATCACTCTTCAAATGAAGATAATACCACAATCCATTTTGTGGATAATACCACAATCCATTTTGGATAATACTTTAAAATAATAAATTAACAAATTCAAAATTCAAATTAAAAAATCCAAGAAAATAACTTGGAAATCTCAAAAAACAATTTTTAAGAACTTTTTAAAACTGTCATTTCAAATTTCGTGCTGCCAACTTAAGAGGTACAAAAATATGACAGTTTAAACCTTAATTTTGCCATTATAACAACAAATTACCAATTTATGTTGTTACTTAATTACTCTTAATGTCGTTTTTAATTTTTAATGATACTTTAATTCGAAATAAAGTAGTTATTTGTAAATTAAAAACAACGCTTTATTTTTACTCAATTGGCACCGCTGAATTTGTTGCCATGGCCTACTATCACTCTTCAAATGAAGATAATACCACAATCCAATTTGGATAATACTTTAATATAATAAATTAACAAATTCAAAATTCAAATTAAAAAATCCAAGAAAATAACTTGGAAATCTCACAAAACAATTTTTAAGAACTTTTTAAAACTGTCATTTCAAATTTCGTGCTGCCAACTTAAGAGGCACAAAAATATGACAGTTTTAAACCTTAATTTTGCCATTATAACAACAAATTACCAATTTATGTTGTTACTTAATTACTCTTAATGTCGTTTTTAATTTTTAATGATACTTTAATTCGAAATAAAGTAGTAGTTTGTAAATTAAAAACAACGCTTTATTATTACTCAATTTGCACCGCTGAATGTGTTGCCATGGCCTACTATCACTCTTTAAATGGAGTTAATACTTTAAAATAATAAATTAACAAATTAGGTGGTAAATATTTTCAGAAAACATTTTTGTATAGTCTTCCAGGAACTTATGCTACCCCTAATGGAAATGAAGGCTTACTCCAGATTTATTGCTAAATATTTATTAGACATAATAACCAGCAATAAAGACATCAGCCTAACAAAGGAGGAATACCTATTAATTCTTGATACAATTCACTCCAACAAAAAGAATTTTCCCAACGAATTGAAAAACGATTTTTCCAAACAAGCTGATAAATTGAAACAATCGTTATTTGGGAACCCAAAGGAAAAATACAATCCTTATGTTGACGCCTTTTTGAACAAAATCATATCAAATAGCAATAAAGCTTACCAAAATAGCCTTTCAAGTGCATTAATTGAAGTTTTTCAACGAGATCCCTCGACTTTTGTTAATTGGAGTAAAGGTTACTCTAAAAATTTGGCTGCTAGTGTAATTGTTATGAAATATTTATGTAAGTAACAATCTTATAAAAAAATACGTTTTTTATAATTATAATTCGATTTTTAGATGAAAATTGGAAATCGGTATCAGTTAAAATTAATATTAAACAGTTTGTTGATTTATTAAATAATTTTAAAGTTACTAATGAGGAACTTTCCAATAAAAAAAAGAAAGATGATGCTCTATATGAATCTATTAATATTATTAAGGTAAGCAGTATTAAACTTTAACGTTTTTTTTTATTTATTTTGACCAAGAAGACTAAATAAAGGAGAGGGTTAATATGTTAAGAAATTTACAACACAATACTATTCCCAACTTGACATTTAAAAACATATAGGTAATTGAGGTTATCTATCTGTCAAGTTTTTTTTTAAATAAAATAAAAGATTGTATTCTATATAATTTTCGGCAAAAATTAGTTAAGATCATTATTATATAAGATTATCAATTTGAAATTAAAAAACACAAAAATATTTGTATTGTATTATTTTTAGAAAATAAGACGAGTTTAGCGTTAAAAAGACAGATAGATAACCTCAATTCTTTGAAATCAAATGTCAATTTTTTCTGGTTCACCATCTCCTGTAATTAGTCTTCTTGAACATACCCCATGCTGAGTAAATTTAATGGCTTGTTCACACCACAATTTTTAAATTTTCTATACCTAACGTTGGTACTGTTGCTGTTGACTGATTATTGCACATAATTATGGATTCTGATCGCTTCGTGGCGGTGTTGCCAGATGTACGATAATTATCGTTTTTAGGTCTGAACGGTGTAAAATATTTCATGTTTTGTACGATAATTTTGGACATAAAAAGAAAAATAATAAATTATAACTATAGTTAATAATAATAATAACTATAGTTTAAAAAGTGTTGAGGTACAAACAAACAAATAAATCTAAAATATCCCATATATGAAAGAAATTTTCTGTTTGGCTAGAAACGTTTTAGTATGTTTTTCCAAATTTTTTAACCCAACCAAAAAAAGCTGCTTAACTTTTGTTTTTAAACGTACTTTTCATATAAAAATACCAACATAGGTATATTCATATTATAATATTATTATAAGATTTTTCAGTTTTTCAGAAATAATTATTAATTTTTAAAATTTCGTAATTTTGATTTCTTTGTTTTCAAAATTTTGTTTTTAAACAATACAATTAAAAGGAAAAATGATTTTTTTCTGAAAAACTAAAAAATTCATAGAATATGACTGAATATTTTGTTGTTATTTTGTAAGTTATTTTGTACGTTTAAAAGAAAAATTTGAAGAAAAAACATTCCATTTACTATTTTTTTTAAATTATTAACTTTTTACAGTTGGGCAAAAATAATTGAATAAATTCACAGTTACTTTTACTGGGATTGTATAACATGACCTTTATTGCAAAAAACATTTAACAAATAAAATGTCCGATAATTTTGAATGGTTGAGACCATAGAAATAAAGACTAACTTCTAGCCGGTGCCCCAACATCGATCCCGACTGGACAAAGAATTTATTATATATTATACAATGCATCATTATCATTTAAAATTGACGGCACAACAATAATATAATAATAAATTGTACCTGTATACATGTTAAGGGCACGTTAGTTACGTAATAAAACCAAACCAACCCAAACTCAACAACACAACCCAACCGACCCCGCCCCATTGGCCCCCCCCCGCCCCATTGAGCAAAAAACCCAACTAAAATGGGCAAATTTATGTTACGATAAAAATAAAACACTTTTTAACAAAGGAACAACAAATTTATGAAATAAAAAAGTAAAAAAAATTCGATAACTTCTGAGTATCGAACCCGGGACCTCTCGCATGCAAAGCAAACGCCCTACCATCTAAGCTATCTAGCTTGACAACAAATTTTGTATGTTCGGGGAACAAAACCGGATTATTATTATGACGTCACGTTATAAGGCGGTTCGTGCCAGCTCGTGAGAAGTCGGGATCGATGTTGGGTCACCGACTAGAAGTTTCTGAAATAAAGCCTTCCTTCCTCCCGTAAAAGATGAACAATAAGAAAATCGTAGTGCCATTTATAGATTCCCGTACGGGAATCTCTAAACAGCACAACGGTTTTTGTATTGTTCATCTTCTACGGGAGGAAGGAAGGAAAGCAATCTATAAATCATGCTTAATAGTATTATTTCTATGGTTGATACGTTAATTCCTTATTATTAATCTGGCAACACTGCTTCGTGGCGTTACCGTTATAAAATTGCGCGCGCACAAGTTTACTTGTCACTTTTGATCTTGCGCTTTTAAACTTTCACCAATAGGTCGATAGTTTGCGGAAAAATTTATACAAATTACCGAACTTTTCGGGTTCAGTTTAATTTGCCCGTCTCGCGAGTAAATTTTAAAGTAGAAACGATGGCCAAAGCAAAAGTAGCAAAGGTAAGCTTGAAAGGTTTGGTTGGGCTGTTAAGTTTGATTGAAAAATTGCGGGGCAATTAGTGTGGATTTCGTGTTTTACTGGTTTCTGATGGTCGGGGGGTTCTTTTTGCAGAAAATGGAACAAAAAATGGCCGCTAAAAAGAAGTCCGGCTCCAAAATGTGCTACTTTTTCCTGCCCATGATGGGCATTTTCCTATTCACCTTTGGACCAAGATTCTACAACTACGTTACGGAAGAATGCCTAAAAAGTTGGTGATTTTTATTAATTTTTATTGTTTATATATAATATATTTTTTTATAGAAAATAACCCCAGTGACTTCTGTTACTACACAAACTTATCAGTCAATAAAACTCATGACGCTTGGGTTTGCGTGGATAAAAGTGTCGAAACGCAGTTTCCGCAGTACAAGCAAAAATTGGACGGCATTTCCAAACCTTACGTTCGTCTAGTGCAAGACCTTGGTGTGGTGGTGTACAATTTGGGTGTCAACGTCAAGGATTACGCCGTCGAAACTTATCCTGCCTTGGTGAAATCTGTAAGGATTTTTGGCAAGTTTTCCGGCAAATTTCGTTACAAAAATGCATTTTTCAGATCGATTCTTACGCCCCCGGTTTAATTGAGCAATCGCAAAGGACCGCCCAAAACGTGTGGTCCACTTCGGTGGTGTATTACACAAGGAGCTTGGACTATCTCAAGAACGAAGTATTTGTGTAAGTTTGTTAATATATTTTATCTTCTGATAAGTTTAATGAGCTACATTATTTGATAATTAAGAATGTGAAAATATTATTAATTAGGAACTTTTATCTTTGATGGAAAGTTTCATTTTTAATTGCTTAACCAACATTTTAATTGTTGTGGTTTTGTTTTTTGTTTATGCAAATAGTTATTATAACTTTTTATGTTATCTTTCAAATGAAAACATTCAGTATTGAGTCATCATTTTAATTATAATTTATAGGGTTTCACAAAACTAGGGTTTTAAAGAAAAAAAAAACGGAAAAATTGTGGAAAAACCTGTTTTTCCAGGCCTTGGAAAAATTGTTTTTTTTTGGAAATATTCACATTTAAAAAAGTGGCAATCAACAATTTAACATTATTTTAATTAATTAATAAAAAAAATAAAACATTGAATTAAATTAAATTGATTTAAGAAAATAAACGAAAGTTTGTTAATACAGCACCAACATGTTTTTTTTGTGACCCGGTAGAATATTCTTTCCGAATTAAAATAAAAGGAATAATTATTATAATCATAAAATTATCCCTAAAAAATTGTAAATTTTTAGAAAAATTTACTTCTTCATTTTGTTCATATTACTCTTTGAATAAAATAAAAAAAATGCAAAAGTCAATTTTTCAAAAAATTTCCAAATTTTCAGTTTTTTTTTCCGAAAAAAAACACCATTTTTTTTCGGAGGCTCAATTTTTCCGGAAATTTTAAAACCCTACACAAAACACATAATTTCAGTATTGAGTCATCATTTTAATTATAATGTACAGGGTTTCACAAAACTAGGGTTTTAAAGTGTTGAAAAAAAAAACAGGAAAAATTTCGGAAAACCCTGTTTTTTCCCAGGCCTTGGAAAAATTGATTTTTTTTTGGAAATTACACATTTATAAAAAAGTGGCAATCAACAACTTAACATTACTTTAATTTAAAAAAAAATATCCTTAAAAAAAATAAAACATTGAATTAAATTAAATTGATTTTAGAAAATAAACGTAAACGTTATATATACTGTCGGTTAGGTCTTTTTTGCATAAAGGAGTCTATTAAAATCATCCAATAAAAAAATAATAAATGATTAAATTACAAAATTATAATTTTATAAATTGAAGTGTCAAATAAAACGAAAGTTATGTTAATAAACCACCAAAATGTTTTTTTGCGAATATTCTTTGTGAATTAAAATAAAAGGAATAGTTATAATCAAAATTTTATCTCTAAAAATTTGTAAATGTTTACTTTTGCATTTTGTTCATATTACTCTTTGAATAAAATGAACAAAAAGGTAAAATCAATTTTTCTGAAAATTTTCAAATTTTCCGTTTTTTTTTAACCGTTTGTTTAAAAACAAACCGTTTTTTTTAAACCGTTTTTTTCGCCGGCTCAATTTTTCCGGAAATTTTAAAACCCTACACAAAAGACAAAATTTCATGTAAACATGGATTTTTAGGGGCCAGCTCTCCCCCGAAAACATGCAAAGAGCAGTTTTTGATGCTTACAACGTGACCCAAACGAAAACCTCCGAGTATATCTCGTGGATCTACGAAAAAGTCCAGACCAGCATCAAATGAGTAGTGTTTTTAAATTAGATTTATTTAATTTTTTACTTTGAGAATTTTAGACCCGTTAAAATACCATGTATGTTGTTAAAAGGCCTTTGATTGTAAATATTTTTTATGCTTTAAATTGTGTTGTTTAAGTGCATAAAGAATGTTTTCATTTCATGGGCTTGGTAGTAACAATGTGTAATAAATTGTTATGCATTTGTTGAAATGACCATCTTTTTATATTATTTATTTGTATAAAAGCCATTCAAAAAATTATAATTTAATATTGTTAATTATATTATTTTGATTATATGTATTGTTTTGTTTTATCTATTTCCCATTAAAATACCTCAAAACCTATTTTGAAATCATTCATATTGCATTGTTTTTTCACGCATTCCCAATTAAAATACCTCAAAAGTTGATTTGAAATTTATTCAGAAACAAGTTTTAGAAATTTTGATGCAAAGGTCATCATCTAAAAACTTGTCTGGAATGTTTTTAATCACCTAGGATGATAACCACAAAATAGTGAAATAATTCGCTTTAATACGAATTTTAAATATATTTCGAAAAATTATTTCGACCGGTAAAACCCCAATTTTTGTACCCTCGAAAATCATACTAATACGGTAATTTTTTTCATAAAATTCGTTTGAGCTGTCTTCGATAATTCATTTATAAATTAATTAAATATAATTATACATAAAAATAAAACTCGAAAAAAAAATAAATCCTTATCAACGATTATTAAAATTTATATTTATAATTTAAAATTTTTATCGGTGATTTTGATTAAAAAAAATAATATTTTAAGGCCGTGCATAATTTTATAATTATATACAATTTTACATACCTTAAAAGAGACTTATATACAATTACATAGAATTGTATAAAATTATATACCATTATACAGTATGCCCAAGGATAGGGTTACAAAATATATATATTATATTACGTTTCTCAGAAAATTGTATTCTTGATTTGCTTGATTTTAAACCCCCAGTATATGAGACACATCATTTTTATTTAAAAAATCTCATCTAAAAACTTGAGATATTTTAATATTTTTAATCACCCAGGATGGATAGATTGGTTAATGATGGGTAAAAATAAAATATTTTGGTAGTAAAATAATTTATTCAAATAATAAAACATGCAATTAAAATTCCTCTAATTAAATACACTATAAGTAAAAATCACCACCTTGATATGTTAATATTTGTTTGTAATTCATAACAATTGTAATGCCACTAAAGCATTTGTCAGCATTTGTATATTTTGGCCCTGCTAAGTTGCGTTTAAGTGCACTTGTAATTTTGTTAACATGACTAGTTGTAATAGTACCCTCCACATACTTTACAATCTACTTTGGTTCTACTAGAAGAATGGCTGGTTCTTTCGGATATGCGTTCTTGGTCGATTTCGTAGTCGTATAATTCCTTGGCGAACCATGTATAGAAATAATCAACCAACCGTTTCACACCATCAAACGTCATCTGGTTATTAACGAAGTCGAATCTCAAAACGCAATCCATAATGTTTATGATTCTGGAACTATTTAAGCTATCAAATTGTAAATAATCGAAAATTTCGTGGTAATCGTCAGGGTTGTGATATTTCTTCCAACGTTCGTGTCTATTTTGCAGGTTTTTGGCTTCGTTCAAAAAGAAATCGATCGCCATCGTCACAAGTTTGTTTGTGTACAAGTTTCCAAAAACGCCGATCAATTGCTCGACGATAGAACGTTGCAACGTCGATAGCAAAGACACCAAAGCTTTTATGACGAACGCTTTAAAATCGGCGTTGTAGCCCTTCAGAACCGCGGAAGTCATCGAAATCAGATCGTCGAGATCCGGCAATTTGATGTTGGAAAACAACCTCTTCAAATTGAAGCTGTCAGCTGCTACTGAAACAGATTTATACGATTTGAGGTTGTTCAGCGCGGCCGACATGTCTTTTTTAGTGAAGCCGTTAAAATTGTCTATCTCTACTGGCACGCCGTTTATGTTGATCTGGCCGTCTCTGGCCACCACTCGAATACCTTTTTCGCGGAACAACTTGTTGGATCTCGTCAAGACTGCGAACACGTCGTCTTTATTTTGGATGTTGGTTATGGCTGATATCACGTCTGCTCTCCCGGCAGTAATATCGCCGTTGTTGTTTTCGATTGTGGACTTTAGAATCCTGTCGAAAGTTTTTCTGTAAAATTAATTAATTATCAACAATCAAACAAGGCATCCCAGGAAGAAAATAACGCAAGCACCCAAAAGATGTATATTTTTGTTTTCATTTTACTGAAGTTGACCAGTTGGATTATTTCGAAAAAATAGTACCGGGGAATATCATGATTTTCCAAAAGTGGATGAAATTATCTATATATATTTTAAATTGGGTGAAAAATAACTTAACCATAGACTGTCAAAATTGGTCTTAATTTTAAAAGAACTTAATTGATACGACTTTGTACTTTGTGCATTATCTCTAAAAATTAATTAAGATGTCTGCTCTCTTTATCCATTTTCAAAAATCTCATCTAAAAGCTTGAGATATTTTAATAAAGTCAATATTTCTGATCACCCAGGATGGACAGATTGGTTAATGGTGGGTAAAAATCAAATATTTTGGTAGTAAAATAATTTATTTAAACAATAAAAACATGCAATTAAAATTCCTCTAATTAAATACACTATAAGTAAAAATCACCACCTTGATATGTTAATATTTGTTTGTAATTCATAACAATTGTAATGCTAGTAAAGCATTTGTCAGCATTTGTATATTTTGGCCCTGCTAAGTTGTGTTTAAGTGCACTTGTAATTTTGTTAACATAACTAGTTGTAATAGTACCCTCCACATACTTTACAATCTACTTTGGGTCTACTAGAAGAATGGCTGGTTCTTTCGGATATACGTTCTTGGTCGATTTCGTAGTCGTATAATTCCTTGGCGAACCATTTATAGAAATAATCAACCAACCGTTTCACACCATCATACGTCATCTGGTTGTTAACGAAGTCGAATCTCAAAACGCAATCCATAATGTTTATGATTCTGGAACTATTTAAGCTATCAAATTGTAAATAATCGAAAATTTCGTGGTAATCGTCTGGGTTGTGATATTTCTTCCAACGTTCGTGTCGCTTTTGCAGGTTTTTGGCTTCGTTCAAAAACAAATCGATCGCCATCGTCACAAGTTTGTTCGTGTACAAGTTTCCGAAAACGCCGATCAATTGCTCGACGATGGAACGTTGCAACGTCGATAGCAAAGACACCAAAGCTTTTATGACGAACGCTTTAAAATCGGAGTTGTAGCCCTTCAGAACCGTGCAAGTCATCGAAATTAGATCGTCGAGACCCGGCAATTTGATGTTGGCAAACAACTTCTTCAAATTGAAGCTGTCCGCGGCCACTGAAACAGATTTATACGATTTGAGGTTGTTGAGCGCGGACGACATGTCTTTTTTAGTGAAGCCGTTAAAATTGTCTATCTCTACTGGCACGCCGTTTATGTTGATCTGGCCGTCTTTGGCCACCACTCGAATACCTTTTTCGCGGAACAACTTGTTGGATCTCGTCAAGACGGCGAACACGTCGTCTTTATTTTGGATGTTGGTTATGGCTGATATCACGTCTGCTCTCCCGGCAGTGATATCGCCGTTGTTGTTGTCTATTGTGGACTTTAGAATCCTGTCGAAAGTTTTTCTTCAAAATTAGTTAATTATCAACAGAAACAAGGCATCTTTGGAAGAAAATAAAGTTAGCACCCGAAATATGTTTATTTTTGTATTAATTTTACTGAAGTTGACAAGTTGGATTATTTCGAAAAAATAGTACCGGAAAATATCATGATATTAACATTTTCCAAAAGTGGATGAAATTATCTAACACTGAATACCTATATATATTTTTTAAATTGAGTGAAAAATAACCAAACTACAGACTGTCAAAATTGGTCTTAATTTTAAAAGAACTAAAATTGATACGACTTTGTACTTTGTGCATTATCTCTAAAAATTAATTAAGATGTCTGCCCTCTTTATCCAATTTCAAAAATCCCATCTAAAAGCTTGAGATATTTTAAGAAAGTCAATATTTTTGATCACCCAGGATGGATAGATTGGTTAATGATGGGTAAAAATCAAATATTTTGGTAGTAAAATAATTTATTCAAATAATAAAACACGCAATTAAAATTCCTCTAATTAAATACACTATAAGTAAAAATCACCACCTTGATATGTTAATATTTGTTTGTAATTCATAACAATTGTAATGCTACTAAAGCATTTGTCAGCATTTGTATATTTTGGCCCTGCTAAGTTGCGTTTAAGTGCACTTGTAATTTTGTCAACATAACTAGTTGTAATAGTAGCCTCCACATACTTTACAATCTACTTTGGTTCTACTAGAAGAATGGCTGGTTCTTTCGGATATACGATCTTGGTCGATTTCGTAGTCGTATAATTCCTTGGCGAACCATTTATAGAAATAATCAACCAACCGTTTCACACCATCAAACGTCATCTGGTTATTAACGAAGTCGAATCTCAAAACGCAATCCATAATGTTTATGATTCTGGAACTATTTAAGCTATCAAATTGTAAATAATCGAAAATTTCGTGGTAATCGTCTGGGTTGTGATAATTCTTCCAACGTTCGTGTCGCTTTTGCAGATTTTTGGCTTCGTTCAAAAAGAAATCGATCGCCATCGTCACAAGTTTGTTCGTGTACAAGTTCCCGAAAACGCCGATCAATTGCTCGACGATGGAACGTTGCAACGTCGATAACAAAGACACCAAAGCTTTTATGACGAACGCTTTAAAATCGGCGTTGTAGCCCTTCAGAACAGTGCAAGTCATCGAAATCAGATCGTCGAGACCCGGCAATTTGATGTTGGCAAACAACTTCTTCAAATTGAAGCTATCAGCTGCTACTGAAACAGATTTGTACGATTTGAGGTTATTCAGCGCGGACGACATGTCCTTTTTAGTGAAGCCGTTAAAATTTTCTATCTCTACTGGCACGCCGTTTATGTTAATCTGGCCGTCTTTGGCCACCACTCGAATACCTTTTTCGCGGAACAACTTGTTGGATCTCGTCAAGACGGCGAATACGTCGTCTTTATTTTGTATGTTGGTTATGGCTGATATTACGTCTGCCCTCCCGGCAGTAATGTCGCCGTTGTTGTTGTCTATTGTGGACTTTAGAATCCTGTCGAAAGTTTTCCTGCAAAATTAGTTAATTATCAACATCTGGAAGAAAATAACGCAAGCACCAACAGCAAACGGAAAAATATAGAACTGTATAGGATGACTCCGCGTTTGAATACTAAATCTTAAAATTTTATCAGAACTGTATTGAATCGTGCTTTGTTTTTATATTTTTCGGCTCTATACCTATGCCCGACTATATTTAAAGTCAAACTCAATGGTGTCTTACAAGATACATTATTTTGATTTTCTATATTCAACAGCGAGGTAGAAACTCGACCCTGTCGAATGGTGCAGTCATTTATGTCTCTAGAAATTATTGAAAAAGGGTTCAGTCCAATGGTGCAGCAACTTCGGATTCCTATTCTCTTCAGAGACATAGAAACTCAAGCTTTTCGAATTTTACTGGCAATGATTTTTGTTAATGTCCCGGAGAATTATACAAAATAAGCGCAATGCAATATCGCAACGGTTTCGACTTCTCTTTACTCTACCAAGTTATAGAAACTGGAGTCTCTCTAACACTGTTCTAGTCAATATTTCTGATAGTATAAAAAGAGGGTGTAATATTGCAAGAAGTTTTGATCTTTTGATGGATGCAAGTAGTTTGAATTTTCTCATTTCTGCATATGATTTTGTTGAAAATAGTTCCTTTCTTTGGTTCCTTTGTCTGATTTTTATTTACCGTAACAACTCAGGTATGTAAAGCACAGAGGATATGATGATAAGTATATTTATGTATTATATAAAGTGCCTTAGCTTAGGTTATGTTGAAAAAATAATCGATATGCTATTAAACTTTAATAATTTAGTAATTAGGTCTGTTGGTAGACCGTGCACTATCTCCACTGGTATAGTTTTGTAATATTTAAATCTGGTTGATGAAAAAGTACACACCAGTGCAGGTTATTGTAGCATCTACGAACAAATGAATTAATGGCCCATTGGAAATTATTCCTTTAGGAAAAATATTCAACACAGCTTAATTAATTAATAAAATGAAAAAAATCACAATCATGTTGTATATAGTTTTTTTAAGCATAAAATAATTTTTTTATTAATACTACTTCAAAAGTGAAATTACGACCTCTATACTGTGGAGAGTATTGAAACGCTCGACTGACGAATACAACTCTATACCGTGGCGAGGTTAGAAAACTGTATTCAAACGTGGCGTCATCCAATACACTTCTATATTTTTCCGTTTGCTGTGCCCGAAAGATGTATATTTTTGTATTAATTTTACTGATGTTGACAAGATGGATTATTTTGAAAAAATAGTACCAGGGCATATAATATTTACATTTTCCAATAGTGGATGAAAACTGAATATAACATTTTTTTTTAATAAATAAATAAATAACCAAACTACAGGCAGTCAAAGTTGGTATAAATTTGAAGAGAACTTAGTTTTTCGACTCACCTATGCCTGTTACTGCGCAAAGACTCGTGGTAATCCTGCAAGGTCCTGGTTTGCACCTCCTCAATAATGGTACCGGCGGTTCTAAAGTTGTACACAGCGTTTCCGAAAAATAGCACCGACGAACTTAATTGCACCATGGTTAGAAGGGAGGGCGTCTGGTTATCGTTGAACCACTGATCGAAAACATCGTAAGTGCTGTTGGCCAGAGATACGCCGCCAGCGGCCACGTTTGCCGCGCTCAGTGTGTTTACTGCGGCCCTGGCACCCTTAAAAATATCGAGAGCTCAGATTTATTTTCGCTGGGCCTATAGATTGAGAATCCTTAGAGACAATTTTTTGCTAGATGAAGTTTTGGTGACGAATTTTTGTGTGGTACACTTACCAGTCCGATATTTACTCCTTTTGAGGTTAGTTGCGAAACGGCCATTGTAGCGCCAGCGCCAACAAATCCCAAGGAACCGGCAACAATGTTCAAATATGCACCTCTAGCTTCGGAATTCGCAAAACTCATGCTCTAAATAATAAACAAAAGAATTTCAGGCCTTAATAATACATACCTATTTCCACAATCCACACAACAAGGTCTGTTCTATCTCATGCTAAAAATACTAAAAATCACTGCAACACTGCACAGAGTTTAACGGCGGCCATTTTTGTTGTTTACAATTCTTGTGCTTTGGGTTTGTGCTGTTTAATAATTGTTTTAAACGTTGGGTTTCTTACAGAGGCACTTGTAAGCCTCAAATAAGGCCTTTAAGTGCTAAGGACAACCATTTTACTCCTCTTTTATAATAAATATACCTTATTCTATCAGGGCTGTCAAATGACAATTTGAAGGTTAATTTGTGGGTTATAATTTAACCTTAAAATTGACATTTGACAGTTTTATGACAGCCCTGATAGAATAAAGTTTATTTTTTACAAAAGAGGAGTAAAATGGTTGTTCTTAGCACTTTAAGTCCTCTTTTAAGGCTTACTATGAGAAACACAACGTTTAAAACGATTATTAATCTGTATAAACAGAGCACAAACCCAAAGCACAAAAATTGTAAACAACAAAAATGGCCGCCGTTAAACTGTGCAGTTTTGCAGTGATTTTTTGTATTTTTAGTACGAGATAGAACAGACCAGTGTTGTGTGGATTGTGCCTATTTCAATATTTGAAGAACAAAGTTATGCGCCATCTCGCGGCTTTTATCGACATTTTTACAATGTCCCAATTGTAGAAATGCATTTTTTTGTAAATTTAATAGTAAAAAAAATATAAAGCCAATCCACAAACCAAAATTTCTTTCATTTATTATATTATACATTTTACCCTTATACAGTGTCTAAAACATTTTTTCATATTTGTAATAGATGAAAAAAAATCAATTTTGTTCGATTTCTGCAATAATTTTTATTTAAAAAAACATTATTTTGTCAATTAATTAATTTAATCCTAATTGAGGTATAAAAAATGATATTTAGTTAAAAATAATAGTTAAGAAACTATTTATACATAGTTTAGCATTTTTTAATCAATTTAGTTCGAAGATTAATTTGCAAATGGATTTTTTAACAGTGGCAGAAAAAATAGAAACGATTTTGATTTATGGAGAAGCAGGCAGGAATCTTGATGCTCAGCGTTTTCCGGATAAAATTCGATCACGTACTTCATTTCACCGTACAATCAAGCAGTTTGCTACAAACGGGAGTGTTCAACCGAAAAAAGAGTTCGTCGAGCAACAGTCACAGGTGGAAATAATGAAATTGATGTATTAGCAGCAACGGCCGCTAATCCTCATGCAAGCACACGAGAATTATCTAGAGATTTGGAAATATTCCAGAGCAGTGTTAGCAGAATATTAAAACCAAATAAATAAATAAATTTAAAAATAAAACCAAGTATTTTAAAAATAAATCGTATACAGAAAAAAAATCGAACAAAATTGATTTTTTTCATTACATCGCCATCTATTACAAATAGGAAAAAATGTTTTAGAAAAAATCTACCTATTTTTAGTCGAATGATCCGAATCTGCAATAAAAAATAGGGTGTTCCATTGGAAATTTTAAAGTTACCCCCTGTTCCCACTATAAGGAGTAGAGTATGAGGGTCAATTTTAGTACTAATAATTATTGATTAACCCCCTCTAATCATTTAATTTTTATTTTAATTTTTTTTTCGTAAAATGCATACTAACTAAGATATTTCAAAGTTTGACTCACCCTGTATATGGCAAATCGACCACTTTTGAACCCGACCCCTTTCGATGTTCCCAAAAGTTTTCCATTCTTTTATCCCCTTTGAAAAACATTTTTGAAAATTTTTTTATCCAACCCAAAAAATAGACCAAAAAAATTTAACTCGATCAACTCTATGAAATTACCGCTTTTTTTAATAAAATAGTTATTTTTGCGAAGTTTTTTATTTTTTTTCTCAAAAAAAAAACCTTCAATTAATGTTACAATTATTCCCGCTAATCCCAGAGTGGGCCGATTTTTTTTCTATTTTTTTTATAATTGAAAAAAATTGTCTAATTTTCAGAAATGATTTTTTTTTCAAAAACTTTATTTATATAATAAAATATATGCAATTCAACGATTTTGAGGTATTATATTCTCAATTTATAGGCTTAAGCTACAACTGTAATGACTAAGATTCAAATTTTAATATATCAATTAGATCGATAAACTAGGGTATGATAATTATAATTATAGAGTTACCCACAATCCACACATTGCAATGCATTGTGGAGTTACCTATAGTCAGTTTACTAGATGATATACGCTAAGTCTATTCAAATCCAAGCTGGACTAAAACGAAACACCCCAGACGAGCGAATGAACACAGAATTTGTAAAATATTTAAACGCCATTATTAAATAATTTTTTGCATTATTTTTAAAATCATTGAATGTTAACTGTATAATCATTAATCCCAGTCAGTATAATCGTAGCTTAAGCCTAAAAATTAAGAATATAATACTTTAAAATCGTTGAATTGCATTTATTTTATTAAATAAATAAATTTTGTGAAAAAAAAATATTTTTGAAAATTAGACATTTTTTTTTAATTAAATAAAAAAAATAGAAAAAAATCTGCAAACTTTGGGATTGTAACATTAATTGAAGTTTTTTTTGAGAAAAGATATAAAAAATAAAAAATGGCGAACTTTGCAAAAATAACGATTTTAATTAAAAAAGGCGATAATTTCATAGAGTTGATAATGTTAATTTTTTTAGGTCTATTTTTTCGAAAAATTCATTTAAAAACAAAACCTTGAAAAAAAAGTTACCAAAAGGTCAATTTTTGAAAAAGATAGGCTATCTGAAAATAAAAAACCTAATTTTTTGAGAAATTTAAAACTTTGGGTTGGATAAAAAAAATTTCAAAAATGTTTTTCAAAGGGTAGAAAAGAATGGAAAACTTTTGGCATGGAATACCCTATAATATATATTATATTTCACGGTGCTGTTCTGAGAGGTGATTTTTGGACTTTCTGTGAAACCTATTTTTTTTTATATTCTTGTTAATTAGGTCATAACTAAAATTTTAAGAGCAAAATAAAAAAAAATTTACGGTTAATTTTGTTTTAATTGGATGTTTATTAAAAATATGTATGCACACTTTCAATTCTCCAATTAAAACTTGCGATTTTATTTAAATATTATAACTTTTTAAATCAGATTAAAGATTAGTTAATTTCCTAAAAAAAGGTCTATACATTTTTTATATCTTTTACTGTTTTGTTGTAATACACGTTTAAAGTTTTAATTTAAGGTTAAATGTATAGTATACATTTATTAAACAATAATTCTAAGGGTGCCACATTTTATTTAGGGCCGATTTATTAATTTTTGATTTATTTGAGGAATAATTTCTTTGGATACTAGATTGCCAAGACATGAAAGTTATCGGCCCGATAAACTTTACTAAAGATGAATAAACCGGTCCTTAGTTAAATTTCATGAATTTCTTCGTAACTTTTACTAAAATTTTTCATTTTTGTTTATAAAAAAAACTTTAAAAAACTAAACAAAAATTATAGAATACGTATGCTGAAAATGACAATTCAAACGTCAAATAAATTTTTAATATATCTAAGTTTCATGGCAACCTTTAAGGATATATTAATTAAGGGAACATAAATGTATACGTCAAAGGTCAGATTAAAAGTTTGAACGTTTATTGCAACAAAACAGTAAAATATATAAAAAAAAAATTGTAAAAACTTTTTTTTTTAGTTATGCAAATATTAAATATTTAAATTAAATCGCTAGTTTTAATTGGATAATTGAAAGAGTGCATAATATTTTTAATAAACAGCCAATTAAAACAATTCAACCGTCAAATTTTTTTTATTTTGCTCTTAAAATTTTAGTTATGACCTAATTAACAAGAATATAAAAAAAAATTAGGTTTCACAGAAAGTCCAAAAATCACCTCTCAGAACAGCACCGTGTATAGCGAGGTACTGACCTCTTTGTGGATGGTCCTATCGAAGACGGTGTAAATGCTTCGGCCGATGGAGTAGGCGCCGACGGTCAGGCCGACGACGCCGCCCACCGCGAGCGCCGCCGGCGCGACGGTGAGGGCGGGGATGGCCGCCGCGACGAATATACCGCCAGAGGCCAGCCCGCCGGCCAGGCTCACGTAATCGGCCACCTGCAGGATTTTGACGTCGACGCCGCACGCCGGCGACAGATGGCGCTCCAGCAGCACCTGCCCGTCTTCCGTGACCTCGTAACGGCCGTCTTTCGGCACGATCATCTCGCACTTGTGCAGTTTATTTTTCGTGAGGTAGTTCGTCCAGTTGTCGTACACCCGCCCTGAAAGGATGTCGTAAGGTTTGTTTCACATTGACAATTTTAAATTGAACGTTTACTAAAGATCCCAAGCAGCATTTTAAGTAAAAGCGTAGAGCTTTGAGGCAATATTCCTTAATTTATGTACATATTTTGTTAAATAAACTTAAAAATTTACAGTAAAATAAAACTTTTTTTAAAGTTATTTAATAAGTTTTATTTATGTTATTTTTACCTATTTTAATAACTCTAAATAATTCCTATTCGCCTGGTATTTTTTAGGGTTATTAGTGGTAATAAATACTGTTAATATTGACTAAACAAGGAAAAATAAGCTTAAAGTGAAAAATAAAACTTTAGGGGAAATTTTTTTTCAGGTCGCCATAATGAGTTTTTTAAGATTCCATCCATTACTTATCTAAACATTTATATATATGCAGTGTCAGAGCTGTCAGAAAAAAGTATCTTAGTTACTTTAGAGTAACTTAGTTACTTTAAAGTATCTAAGTTACAGTATCTTAGTTCCTTTATTTTTTTAACAAAAAGTATCTAGTATCTTAGATACTTTTTAAAAGGAACTGTATCTTGTAACTTAAAAAAAGTATCTTAGATACCGAAAAGTATCTTAGATACCAAAAAGTAACTTAGATACCAAAAAGTAACTTAGATACCAAAAAGTATCTAAGATACCACAAGAAAAGTTCCTTTAGTCAAGTTGTTCGAAACGGCCGCGGCCATCGAAGTTATTATAATAAGTATACTGGCGACTTCAGCGACTGGCGCCAATCGACTGGCGGCGATTTTTGTTATAACTACTTAATTTTTATTCACCTATAAGTACTTCTTTTATAATCTGTGGCCTTTATTACTTTGTAAGTACCATTTTGTAAAATATAAATTAAAAGAACAAAGAAATTACAAACGTCAATTTTTTAGAAAGAGCAAACAGTTAGTAATTGTAGCGTTATTTTTACGTAAATTTGTGGTATTTATATTGTTTTTATTACGTTATTCTCTTAGTATACCGTTTGTTAAAATACTTTAAAGTTGACTTAGTAGTAAATTTGTAGTTATTTAAACTTAAAATGCTGTTTGAGATATAACTCTTTCAAATTGTTTTTTTTTCATATATTTTTTTCAGGATTATATTAGATTATTTGCCTAATTTTCTAAATTTCACTTTACTATTAATATACCTACATTTTGATCAAAATTTCATAATAAAAAAATACTCAATTTTTTAAGATTGATGTTATTTATTGACAGAATATCCTTTATTTAAAATAAAAACAAAAAAATCTGTTTTTTATTGTTTTTTTCATGTTTTTCTTCAAATTTAAAAAAAACTGTTAAAGTGTTCATTGGCAGAACTCAAGTTTTCAATGTTGTCAGATTTAAAATAACAAATTGTCGTTAAATCCACACAACAAGGTCTGTTAACAGAATAAAATAGAATGTCGTTTCGCGCATACTAAAAATTTACCATAACCCACAAATTCACCATACCCACAAAATTGACATTTGACAGTTTGAGGACAGCCCTGATAGAATAAGGTTTACTTTTTAGTAAAATGTAAGAAACACAACGTTTAAAACGATTATTATTAATCTGTATAGACGGAGCACAAGAATTGTAAACAACATAAAAATGGCCGCCGTTAGAGTCTGTTCAGTGGGTGGCCTAACTTCGTGATTTTTAGTATGCGCGAAACGAGATAGAATAAACCTTGTTGTGTGGATTGTGGTTAAAAGTTTTAACTTATATTTTCTAATGTAATATTGGTTGGCTATCAAATTTCCCTAAGAAGCATAAATAATTTACATTTGACAACATTGCTCTAGTTAAAAAATGTGTGCTAAAACGTGCTAAAGTGTGACATCATATTTTTTTTTTTAATAAAAATGTATGTAGATGGTTTCTGCTTCATTAACAATTAAAAAAAATTGTTAGGTATCAGAAAGATTAGATTATTGATTTTTGTCAAATTGTATACATACCATTGTTATCAATAAATATTCTGCATGGATGACTACTTCCCTCGCATTTTCTTAGCACAAAAATCGGGACAGGATTCAAATCTGTTTTAGGATTGTAATCGGGATATTTTTTTTGTCTTTTTAATTTTTCGCCGGGCAAAACCTCTGTGCAATTGTACATAAACGCTATAACTACCCTATCCTTCCATTGGGCAACTTTATCTAAAACAATATTATCAGTGTGTGTATATTAAACGTAAAAAATACCTTACTGTTGGTCTCTACAATTTTTTTATAAAAATCTTCGATTTTCTTTTTTTTATCTTTGTCGTAAACAATATTTTCCTCCTCCTCTGTACTTGGTGGCCCAAAAAAGGCATAACCGATTTTTGACTTTAAGTATTCATGTTGATTGTGCTCAAAACTGTCATAATCTCTATCACCAAGCATTTCAGCCATCATAAGATGGTATTCCACTGATCCAATATCGTTTTCAGAAGTTTTATTATCCAACTTATGCAACTCCTTTTCCATTTCTATCTCGTTTTGAAAGCTTTTTAGGGCGTCTTTAAACGTATTCAACAAATTTCTTTCCGACGATTTCTCGCGTAGGCAGGAAAAAATGGTGATATTTTTTTGAATAGGCACTAATATTAAGGCAGCAGATATCTTATTTTCTATCATGTTTGAAACAACGGACAATTCTACTATTTCCTCCAAGGCAGCCAATAAGCCACCGTGTAAATTTTCATCCTCAATGTCCCAGCCCAATATATAGTAGTTGCTTAGGATGTTTGATATGTCTTTTTTTTGTAAAAGCGGCGAAAAGAACTTTGTAAATCGGTGGTTCTCATTGTGGAAGTACAAAATTAATGGCTTCCTCTGTCAAAAGAATTGAGAATTAAGTTTTTTTGGACTTGTTCAATATGTTCAAAAATTATCAGTATACAGGGTGTAATTAATGTAATATATCAAAATACCGAATACCTTTTGACATAAGGTGTAACGGAAAAATATTTAAAAAAATATTTTTTGTGATACGCCACTGGTTACACACTTGTGTTCTGTGAATATACCAACAAAGTAGCTGCCATTGTAAAAAATTGTTACTAAAAATTTGTCTTGTAAAAAATAAATAAAAACTTAATGAATACAAAAGTTTTATGACATTAAAGCTCTAATGTATTTATTTACTCATCCAGCAATAATTTAATACATATTTTAAAAAGTCCATAACCACAAAATTAATTTTTTATCGTTTTTTTTTTCTTTCTGTTTACTCAGATAAAATTAGGAGCACAGGTTAAAATTTAAGCATTCAATTTGTGTTAATAAATTTAAAAGCACTTCCCTTAGTTAAGATATTTACTATTTGAGCACATAACCTAAAATTTGAAAAAAAAATACTATAGATTCTGTCGTAAAAGTTGACAGATTTTGTTTGAATTTACCTTCATTACAAAAATGACATAATAAAAATTAATAAAAAGGCCAAATTAACAATTTGCATTTTTGATTTTGTCATTTTTGTAATTAAGCTTAATTTAAACAAAATCTGGCAACTTTTTTGACAGAATCTGGAAACGCTGGTTGTTACCAACCATAACATAATAAATTAAATTAGGCAACCAGATAAGCCTAAAGTTCCTAGTCGATCAGTGGCGTACTTTTTGGTAGGATAAAGGTTATTATAAATTATATTTAGTCTTTAGATTTTAGAAGGAACTAAGTACCCGTTTTAATATATTACATTAATTAACAATAAAGTTTTTTTTTGTAGTATTTAAAATAACTAAAAATAGCTGAGTATGCAAAACAAAAAACAATTATTACCAAAGTAATCAGTGATAACATAAATGTAAATTTTTAATGGATGTAAATTATTGCATTATTGCATATTGAAAACTATCTTTTGGAATTTGTTAATCATGTTTAATATCTATGAAAATAAAAAAACAGACTTACCTATTACTTTTATTTCAACAATCTAATCTGAATTTGTTTGTTAATTTATTTCAAACATATTTGTTTGTAAATAAAATATCTATTGTTTATAAATATCTATATTTGTTTTTTGTTTTTTGTTTTTTTCCTACTTTTGTTATAGCTAATACTAATTTTATTTACGGAATATTTACCTGATCTAGTGGGGAATTAAGGGCCTGGGATACAAAATCTTTTAAGCAACAATTTCTAAAGTTTACATTTGCCGATGGGTAATTATTTAATAGTTTGGAAATAAAAATCGAGCAAGCCGTTGACTCATGGGCAGAGTCTAAAAGTAATCATTACCTACCAATTTAAAAACAAAATCTCTATTTAATAATTACCAATTAAGTGGACTTCCCCATTGGAAACTAAATTATCTGTTTCCATTTGCTTATTTTCCTCTAAAATATAATAAATGTAACAAAATGTATTTACCGTGTAACTAACTTATTTCACCAGCATTATTTGGTTGGTTGGTGGTGCTTCGAGCAGAATCTGTGCTTGTAAGAAACAGATAAACCATGTCGGTACAATTAACACAATCCTTAATTAAACAGCTTGGATCTGTTGGTTCAGATTCCCATCCCTCAATTAGTTGTTTTGAGGGTAGTAAATTGATTTTCCTGAATATCTCACATTTTAGGACTTCTAATAACAATAATAAATCTCTATAAGTACAAATATTACAATAAGGGTTCAAAAACTTACCAATGGTATCATTTGAATTTAACTCGAAGAAAACTTCCTTGTTCTCGTATACAATATTAATCAAAACGATATTTGAAGCCATTTTAAAGGTATAGTAACAAATTAAACGCAATACATTGCATATGCTTACTCTCTTAAACACAAGGTTAAAACTTACAATATAAGTGAAATCAATTATCAACGATACACCTTTTAAATGGTAAATAATTCAATGCATGTCACTGCAGCCCACTCGAGAAAACTCGTCTAAAAATCCCCGAAATACAAATTTTATCCTAACCCTATGTTTTTGACAGCACCAATATACGTCACTGGATGGCGCATTGACAGTGTTGCCAAGTCGCTTATTGTACATTTTGCCAAACTGATTGATGGTATTGGAAAAATTTTAATTAATTATACTAAAATGGGTTCCAAAGATATTCGGTTTTTATTATAATAAAAACCGAATTTTAAAGTTGCCTCTAGCTATAGCTATAGCTATATATAATATATATATATATATTACGAGCCCTAACCACATAATGTTCGGACACTTCATAATTTATACAGAAATTTTTTTCGTGAATACTATCTCAAAATTATTAGAAGTTATGAAAAATTCAGCTTATTTTGGCATATACCCCTCGAAGCGATTTTTATTTTTAAAAAGTTTACCTTTTATTTTTAGCTTTTAAAAAAAGGCTAACTTTTTAACTTTTTTTTGTATGAGTAAAAAAAGTTATAAATGGACCCATTAAAAAGAGCATAAAATATTATACAAACCCTGAAAATTTGGTAAAAAATAAATAAGTTATAAAAAAGTATAAGTAATTTAAAAATGCTATTTTTAAAGAGTTTTTGCAATTTTCTTAGGAAACGGGAGATTTTGCAGATATATATATCGCTATAACTTTCTTATTATTTATACAATTTTTACCAAATTTTCAGGGTTTGTATAATATTTTATGTTCTTTTTAATGGGCCCATTTATAACTTTTTTTACTCATGCAAAAAAAAGTTAAAAAGTTAGCCTTTTTTTAAAAGCTAAAAATAAAAGGTAAACTTTTTAAAAATAAAAATCGCTTCGAGGGGTATATGCCAAAATAAGCTGAATTTTTCATAACTTCTAATAATTTTGAGATAGTATTCACGAAAAAAATTTCTGTATAAATTATGAAGTGTCCGAACATTATGTGGTTAGGGCTCGTATATGTATAATTGTCTTGGAAAGGATTATTGGACTGTTGTGTGCATAGGAATTTCTTCATATTTTTAACTGAAGAACACGATTCCAATTTTTTTTTACGCAGAGCACTTAAGAAAACCATGTATAGTAGGCATAAATTGGAAGCGACAAAAAATTATAATGTAAAATTCTATAGATATTATCGTGGACTTTGATTACGCAGTTTTTGAATCAGGAGAAAAAAATAGAAATAACCGCAGATATCATCAATATTTAAAAGATAGATAACAAGGTATTAAAAAAATCACATAGGTACTTCGTTTTTGTATTTATTAGGTACTTAAGTAAAATTTTTTTTTTGTATAGATGACCTTGTTTTCTATTTGTCGCATAGTCACTAGGGTGCTTCATTTGAAACGAACATTTTTTTTTCCCGCTGACACATGAAAATTTTGTTCCTTGTATCGAAAAAAAAATTCCCTGAAAATTTGAGCTCTTAATTTTAATTTTCAGTGGTTCCTCTCGATCGATGTATATTTCCCATTGAAATAACATGTAAATCTTGATTTTTTTAATTAAAATTAACATAGCTCCGTTTGATTTCATGGTATTTCATTGCGATTAGTCAGAATTTGTAGTATATTAGTGACTCTTTGAAAGTGCCCACCAACATTTTTTTGTCCTTGAACCCGTCTCATCGGTCTCGGCCTCGAAACCCCAATTTTCTCAAAAATTGTTATATTTTCGTTTTTATCAACAAAACAGTTGAACTTATGAAAAAAATGATCAGAAAATAATTTGTAGGAAATTAAATTTCCTACAAAAATATCCCTGTATGAATTTTCTGAGGTCCATAGTCCAAAAGGTATAAACAGTTTAATGTATTAAAATCTAATTTTTCAACTTACACTTTTGTTTAACAAAGTTAACCTCATTCAACTTTTTTTAAAAAAAAAAAGATCGGTAATATTGGGAAGAGATGTTAAAAAATTTTTTTCATCGCCTTATCTTCAAGAGTAGAATGTCTCATGTGAATTTCTGATATTTATTGAGTGTAAAATATTTTATTTTGTTCTTAGTATAAAAATATACCAAAATTAGATTTAGAAACAATTAAAATTAAAAAAATCATTTTTTACACCTGTAATTTCTGTTTCTATTTACGCTGTGGCTCCCGTCCCGAGGCGGGACTTAAGTTCAGTCCCGATCTCTTCCCAATATTACCGATCTTTTTTTTTAAAAAAAGTTGAATGAGGTTAACTTTGTTAAACAAAAGTGTAAGTTGAAAAATCATACAATAAAAATTAAAATTTCATATTTTTTTTAGATTTTAATACATTAAACTGTTTATACCTTTTGGACTATGGACCTCAGAAAATTCATACAGGGATATTTTTGTAGGAAATTTAATTTCCTACAAATTATTTTCTGATCATTTTTTTCATAAATTCAACTGTTTTGTTGATAAAAACGAAAATATAACAATTTTTGAGAAAATTGGGGTTTCGAGGCCGAGACCGATGAGACGGGTTCAAGGACAAAAAAATGTTGGTGGGCACTTTCAAAGAGTCACTAATATACTACAAATTCTGACTAATCGCAATGAAATACCATGAAATCAAACGGAGCTATGTTAATTTTAATTTAAAAAATCATGATTTACATGTTATTTCAATGGGAAATATACATCGATCGAGAGGAACCACTGAAAATTAAAATTAAGAGCTCAAATTTTCAGGGAATTTTTTTTTCGATACAAGGAACAAAATTTTCATGTGTCAGCGGGAAAAAAAAAATGTTCGTTTCAAATGAAGCACCCTAATAGTCACTTCATAAAATATATGATATCATAGACATATTAATACGTCCATTTTGATACGAATTGTCAACTAAATAAAATTTAGGTTTTGTCAAATTTTCGCCTAGGATAAGGTTTCATGAAACCTATAACCTATAAAGCCAAACATCAGAAATTTATGCATAAATGTTTGGCTTTATAAAAAGCAAAAAGTGGCATAAAATGCATATTATGTAAAATCCACTAAAAATCTAGTAAACACGTCCCAGACTGCAATGAAGGTTCGAAAATATTCCAGGAATATTCCCTATCGCCTAGGAATAATCCGCTTCATTCTAGGAATATTCATTGGGAATATTCCTAGAATGATCCTTTAAAACTTCCAAGCATCATCTAAGAATATTTCCAGTGAATATTCATTAGTTTAGTTGCAATACCTCTCACCGTTCCTTACGCACGCTTGATAACTATATAAACCGATAGGTTAATAATATTAGTTGGAGATGTGCGTCTGTGATGGCACAGCCAAACAATGATTAAAGTGGGACTGATCTACTCAGTAACTCAATAATGGCTATACTTAAGTTAAGTTCCTGGGTATAAGAGGCAATAAGGGCTGGGAATAATCCCCAAATTATATCAAGGAATATTCCCCTAACAATCCTTGAGTCTTCTGCAGGCAGATATATGGAATATTCTTTTTATGATGCCTGGGTTAACCAAAAAGCGGACATTTGATTATGCCAGGAATATTCATGGGAATATTCTGGGACGATTGGAATATTCCTGGGAATATTCCTGACATGTGCAGGGAATGTGATTTTGCGGTCTGGGACAAAGGAAAAAAAAACAATGCCAAAACAATTGGTATACAACAAAAAAACAAACAGAATGGTTAATTATAAAAATCAAACATATTAATTAATATGTATAAGCATGCGTATAAGTTAAAGTAATTTTGACATCTGACATTTTTGGTTTGTTTGAATTTTGTTTTAATCCCGTTTTAGCATCTGCTAAGTAAAATAAATGAAAACTATAAACTCTACGTCAAACAATAAACCAAAGAACACAATCATTGAATAAAAAATCAATCATTCAGCAGTAAGTTTCATTTTATTTTCGGGTATGTTGGCATTACTGACACGGTTTATTTAAAAATTGCGCCGCAAACCTGCGCAGGAGGAATAAAAATTAACATTATCATTAAGAAGATAAAAGTTGGCCATCTCTTAATGTTAACTTAATGCTAAAGTTAATGTTAATGTGTTGCATAAAAGCTTCCAATGGATTACGTTAATCTTAAGACAGCATAGCTCTATTTTATGATTTGGACGTCAAATACAACATCAGAAAGAAATTCTTAAGACTTCGAATGCGCCACCTATTGAACTAATCAAGACTTCTCAAAAAAGAACTCTTGAGGAACCCTTTTCTTTGACTTCGCAATTAAGCATTTTAAAGAGTCCTACTGTATAAACTTATAAAAAGACTTCTTTAGAATTTTCCGTTTTGGATATAGAAGTACTACTAGGGTATACCCTAAAATTCTAAAGAAGTCTTAGCTTATGCTGTCTGGGTGTTAACTTAATGTTAATTTGTGCTGCATAAATCCAGCATTAATTATTGTTGATTGCTTTTTTTCAAACAATTTATTAAAAATTATTTATTATACTTCTTAGTAAGAATTGATTTTTATGTGGAAAAAATTGTGATAGTTATTGTAAAACATTTTTGCCCAACCTTGTCTTATAATAAATTAATGAAAACAAAATACTAGATAAAAATATATTGTAAACTAAAAAATAAATTGTCCTTAACAGCTAATATTATAGGTATCAATTGGGCTTATAATGATCTGGAAGTGCACCTTCGATGTAGACTTAATATAACTCGTATGCTTCCAATTTCTTCAACAGATGATGCATGACATCCATTACCTAAAAAAATGTATTAATAAAGTTTTACAATAAAGCCCCAATGAACCTTTTGATTCTCTTGTATCTGCCTAGTTCGCCTTCAAAGCTCTGCGGCAAAGCCCCAAAAATATCCTCGTCTGACATATCGATCAGGTGTATCGGTTCGTCATCAAGATCCCTGTCTATTCTACGTCTGACCCTGGAGAGGCCGTTCCCCATGCTCCGCGATCTGATGGCCACCAAATGGTTCCTGGTGGCTGTGCCTCCATGCAGAGCCACCAAATCGTCCATGTCCGATCTTTTCTCTCTATCCGGGACCTCTTCGTAGTTCTCCTCGTTGTAGTTCTTGATGTGGTAGATGTCTGGATGCAAGTCTATGTAGTACTCTGGGTTGTCTTCGTTCGACATCGATCTTCTCAGCGCGCTTTTTTGGTCCGAAGCATCTTCGTAGTCGAACTCGTTTTCGAAGGAATATTCCTCGGCATCTTCCGACCGTTTTTCTTTGATCTTATCCTCATTGAAACCGGTGAGTTTGTTTTCGCCGCTTCCGCAGTTGCAACCGGGGGAGTTGCAGTTGCAGGATTGGCCTTCGTTGTTTTTGCCGCATTTCCCCGAAGAACAGTCTCTCTTTATGTTCTGAGTTTCCTCCTTTAAATTCGTTTCAGCCATCAAGTCCTCACTCGTAATTTGACGTTTGCGTTTCGAGTAAACGTTTACGTGTTTGCCGTTGTTGATGTTGATTTTCACCAATTTATCGGTGCTGTTCACAATGTATCTTCTATAGTCGTTGGTTGTCGCCACAAAACCTGTGGGTGGTTCAGTAATTGGGTTAATTTGATCTAAATTTTTGTGCGAGGGTAGTTCAACCGATATTTCCGCTGTATCCGAAGCGTCGTTATTTGAAGGAGCGTAATACTCGATTTGCACTTGACGTCGATTTCTGCCTTCTACTTGATCATCATCAACACCGTCACCTTCATCGACTTCTCTTTTTTTACGCGTGTTCTGCAACTCCGCTTTATCGTCCCCTTTCAAATACTCAATTTCACGTTTCACCTCGTCTTTCAACGCTTGTATTTTTTTCTGGATTTGACTTTGAACCTTCTTCTCATAATCCACCAAGCCCGAACTTTTCTCCTTGATTGACTTTTTGTTTCTCTTGTTGTTGTTATTGGGGTGGTTATTGACGCGCTCGTCGTTCTTCGCTTTCAAAGCCGTATTGGCCTGAGCCCGCAGTTTGACCGAGTCCAGAAGAAAATTTAACCTTCGCTCGGCTCTTTGCTTATCTACTGGAGATTTTTTAAATTGTTTTGAATGCGTTTTAATGCCCTCCCTCGTGGAATTTTCCTGGGCAAATCTTTTTTCTCTGGTCTCACTTTCCAAATCGTTAATCGAGCCGATTTCGTCCAGCATGCCTCGCAACTGTTCCTCAACCGAAACAGGTTGCTTCAGAGCGGTTCTTTTTTCTTTATCCTTGATTTTTTCAGTTTTATGACCGTTTTTTTCAATCATATTCATAAACTCTTCATCCTCCTTTTCCTCCTCATTTTCTTTTTCCTCTTCAGTCACTTCATCCTTTTCGCGCGGTTTTTCATCGACAACGTCCAGATTTTCTTTCAGTCCTTTTACCGGGATAAGCTTGTAGGACTCTTCAAAGGGCTGAAAATTAAATATGCTTTTAATGATATTTAAATTTAAATAAAATAATGAAATGAAAATAGACTTTTATTATATAATAAAATTAAACCATATCGGTAAAACACTAAATTTATAAGTTGAACTTATTTTAACGTTGTAATCTTTTAACGCGCTTGTAGGTTCCCAATTCGCCTTCGAAGCTTTGGGGAAGCGCCCCAAAAATCTCCTTATCAGACATATCTATCAGTTTTATAGGATCTCCCTTCTCGTCTATGGTCCTTCGCACTCTGTAAGGACTACCGACGGGAATTTGCGAGGTTGCATGACCTCTGCTAGCAACACCGCCATGTAAGGCTGCACCGTCCAAACTTTGTCTGCCCTTCCTGTTGACATAATCGTAGTCATCTCCGTCTTCCACGATGGCTGGTTTAAACGGGACCATGTTGTATAAATCTGGGTGAAAGTCCATGTAATAGTCGCTTCTTATCAACCGTATGATGGGTTGCTTGCTATCCAACTCGTCCTCGTACTCCGCAAACACGGCCTGGCTGATTTGATCGTCGGAACGTTTCAAGTCTCCTCTTCTGTCGTTATGCTCCCTGCTCACTTTGATTTGTGTACCTTTGACCCCGCAATTGCAACCTGGGGAGTCGCAATTGCACGACTCTCCCGTATTATCGCGACCGCAGTTCCCTGACGAGCACCTCTTCTTCACATTGTCAACCTTTTCCTCGTAATAATCGTAGGTTTCTTCTGCGAACCTGGGTTCCAAATCCTTCTCGATTTCGAAGAACTGGGAGTTGTCGTTTTCGCGCTTGTGCACGATTTTTTCGGGGTACGCTGCTTCCCTTTTGGTTTTATTCGCCGCACTCGATTGATTGGTGTTTATCGATATTTGCAGGTTCTGATGACCATTTTGCAGGCTAATGTTGATTTCTTTGTCGCTTGCGTTAAGACTCACCACTTTGGTGAGGTTCGAATTACCTTCCGTGGTACTCACTAAAACGTTGTAGGTGGTGTTCATTGAATTAGTCGAACAATCACACTTGGTTGACGCAGTTGAGGCGGATGCATTCATTGTATTTTTACTGATGCACGTAATCATGTTAAGATTTCCCGTCAAGGTGGGTTGTTCTGTGTTCATAGTGCTGAGAGATGAAGTGAATGGCGGCAGGTTATTGAGCTCCGAAATTTCCCGTAATATATCCTCTTTTATTGTGTTAACGCGGTCTACTCCTCTACGCCGTCGTATTTTAGGCTTTAGCTCCCCAGTATTCAGTACTGGATTCAAGACATCCGTTTCCACATCCAGAAGGGTATTGAATCTTTTATTTTTGCTCGGCCCCACTCTGGGATTCCCGCGCTTCCTCCTGATCAACTCTCTTTTACTTGATCTACTTGATTCTTCCTCCATTACTGTATTTGAAGCATACGCCAAGGGAGATTTGTTTCCACTTATAGATAGGTCCCCGGAATTGGCCAAGTCTTGAATGATATTATCCTCATCTTCGTGTCTCTTGTTCCTATAATCCCCACGATCGCCATTTTCCAAACGATCATTCTTTTGGGGCTCAGATTTAACTTCTCGTTTCAATAAATTGCTCGTTACGAATATATCGTTATCGTTCAGTAAATTGCTTTCAACCGGCACAGGGACATCTTGAATCAGTCTCTTCCTTTCGCCATTCCCAAAACGATCACTCCTTTTGTGTTCAGGTCTAACTTTAAATATTTCGTTATCATTCAGTAGATTACTTTCGACAGGCACTGGTTTATCCTGCACTAATCTTTTACTTTCCATACGTGAGTCGCGATTTTCTTTGATCATGTTTATTTTGTTTAAGCCACGTTCCAAGTTTTCGTCCTCTTTAACGTATCTTTTCTCGTTTTTATTATCCAGATTTTGCTTCTCTATTAAGCCCATTTCGTTTAAGATATCCTTTAAACGATCTTCCACGTTTGATTCAAGTTGTGAGTCTGCACTTCTTTTTGTAAAGCTACTTTTAATGTTATCGTTATTATCCGATAGTGCTTCACTGTTATCTTGGACGGGACCAGAATCGTCTTCAGAATGCAGTTGTTTAATTTCCAAATCAATTTTTTGTTCCTTGACAGGAATTAACTTGAACGATTCTTCGTAGGGCTTAAAAGAGAAGAAAAAGAGATGACCATTCAGGAATAAAAAGTATTAATACCTTTTTTGAAAACTTCTTTCTCCAATTCTTATTCGCTCGTTTTTTTTAGTGTGGTGTGTTAATAAAAATACCAACCTGTAGAATACCGATGGGCTCCTTGTTCTTGAACATAATTCCACAGGTTTTTTTCCTAGGTTCACTCTCGTGAATGGAGACTTTGTGGTGTGGGGATCTTTTTTTTATACGAGTGTAATGCCTCGGCTTGGATAGGTAATCGCGTAGAGATTTCATGTTGTCATTTTCGATCGTTTCTTTAAAATCGCCATACTGCATACTGAAACATTGACAAGCTAGTTAAAAAGATAATAAAATATTTAACAAATATACCCTGGAGGACCTCTTCTATAAACGCTCGAAACTGATTTTGAGTAAACAATTGTAATCGTGAAGCTTGCTGCCATAAAAAAGAATACAAAACTTATTAATTTCATTGTATAATATAATATGTGTATAAATATAAGAATGTCAATTTGACTTGTAAATTTTTGTCAGTGTCAGCTTTGTTATCTATGGTGTCAGCTACACTACACTATCTACAATAATTTAGTCTATGAAAAGAATTCTCTATTTGTTAACAAAGGTGACGATATTGTTCTCTAGGGTTTTTTTACAGTGCTGTGAAGAATGCCCTGCTCTGATTGGTTTAATGCTTTTTATGGTGATCATTTTCCATGGAAGGTAAAGTCGCAAACTTTAGAAACAGTTTAATGTAATTAAAATAGGATATAAAATTTGACAGTGTCAACTTGAATGTCATGGTCAAAATTAAAAAAGTCAAGCTAGCAAAACCAATGCTTTTATCAAGAAAACTGGGCATGATGGACATTCAAGAAGATACCACAGTTCGACCTCCAGCTGGAACAACAGGTGATTGGGGTGCCCTTTCGAAGGTCTCTTTGCTGGTGGTTACGCATTCCATTTTTCCAGATCCCACTTGTTCCTCGTGTTTCTTAATTTCAGCCCTAGGTTTGGTCTAGGATTTCAGCCCTTTCCCCTCTAACAATAGTGTACTAGTACCAGATACAACAATGACCAAGTCTCAGCTGAGACTTGGTCATTGTTGTATCTTGGAATTCTCCGGTAATTTTGAGATTATTCTGGGCTTCGCGAGAAAATTGTTTCCTTGACAATTGATAGCATTGAAGACGTTGGACCCTTTATAATTGTGAAACTGCAAGACACAAAAAACATATTTTCCCTAGTTCACTATTACGGAAGACGATACTCCTTTCAAGAGTTGTGCTCTGTATTGAAGATGCCGCACTTCAATCCTTCAATTTTAGTCGATGCTTTTTTGTAGTATACAAAAACGGTAAATGCACCAAATAGCCTGTAGGAATTCACAAAATAGGAGGAGTTCCATAAATAATTGCAAAATTTTTAAACTTGGAGAATTCTGAACGTTACACAGGGCTTTATGAGATCGTCAACCATGGTTGACTGCAGTATGTTAGAGGAAAACTGTGGCGATCTCCTTACCTTAAAACAATTTGGGGGATGGAAATCTTCAGCAGTTGCTGAACAGTATGTTGAACAATCAATTACCAGGAAACTTTCGAAGCAGCTGTTCAAATCAACGGACAATAATCCTTAAGTGATAGCGTAGAAAGAAAAATAGCAGAAACTGTCACATCACAACAAAGATATTGTCTTTTTAATAACTTTAGTACTTTCTCTCATTTCACCTAAATAGTTTTTTATTGCGTGTTCTGTTGTAAAATAAAATTGTAAATAATTTGTAACTAAAAAATTTCTATTAATTTAACAATGTCAACGTACAAACTCTACTGTTAAGCTTAAAGTCCTAGACCTAATTATCAATAAAGGGTCCAATATAGGTGTCATTTCATTGAAGGACTTTATGACACTAACAACATATAGTTATTATGAAAACATTTTTTTTCGTGGGAAATAAAAAAGTTAAAAACAAATTGAATAAAATCCGTGTGTACAAAATAATAATTTATTACAGTTTTATTTACAGTTCCTCACACACCGAGTTCATATAAGTGTCGATACTTATCTGATGGTGTTTTGGTATTACAAAATGTTGATTTATCCCCACAAAATCTCATTTACGTGATAAATGAGCTTTGGAGTTTACAAAATTCAATATCGAAGTAAATCATAAAAAAGGAAAACAGTAAATAAACAAAATAAAATACTACATTATAAATTTTATTTGGGTTTTATACTCTTAACAAGCGTCAGTAAGCTTCGGTTTACAAAAATAAATTTTAAAATCTAAGCAAAGATATAAAACCCGTACCGTAAGCCTTAGTATAGTTTCGCAATTGAAATTGCCTTTACCAATAAAAATAAAATATTAATAATTAATAACAATATAATATAATAAACAATATCATAATATCACAATGTTAGAATGTTAGATACAGTCTATGAATTATGACTCTAAAACTGAAAGGACTTATTTGGTAGTTCCTACAGGCATATAGAACTTGTGGGACTTGGTATCCCTGGTGTGTTTGAAGGGGCCTTTGGGTGCGTCCACCAAGACAGCCGGACATGGCCCCACGTTCCTCGGAGTGTACTCTTTCTTGTACGACGTCACCACATGCACGTTGCTATCGCCCAGGGTGATATTCGACACATTCGATCGTCGAGAGACCTTTTCGATTCTTTGGACGTTCTGTTGCTTGGTGAAATCTCCGTATGATCTGGCTGTAGATTGTCCGTAGAAGTGACCGCCAACGGAGAGGTTGTCTTTGCGCACGATTTTCTGCGGCCTATCGATCACCTGGTAGGTTGTGCTGCTGCTCTGCTGGCTGCGCCTATTGGCTGCGTTCGATTCCTGCGTGGATCTATGCATGGAGCTTAGACTGTGTCTTTCGGTGTTCTGAACCGTTCTTCCTTGATCGTGGAGGTTGCAGATCGACTTCCTCATGTCCAGAGCGGCGGCACTGGTGGCGTGCAAAGCTTCAGTCGACGTGTGCATACCTTTGCGGTGCAGGATCTGGTTGTTTATTTCCTCCGAGGAAATGACGTTTTTCCGGTGATGAGCGCTGCTTTGATTCGTCACCGTTTTGCTGCTAGAGGTGATGTTGTTGGAGACGTGGGTTTGCGACGAGGATTTTTGGACGTGGTTTTGCGAATTGATGATGTTGTTGTGCGTCACGTTATTAACGTTTCTCTGCTCGATATGGCGATTGCTGGTGTTGCGGTTCTCGATGTGTTGGTTGGATTGATGGAGGTGGGTTTGCGAAGACGACTTGTGAACTTGTTGACTACCAGACACGACGTTTTTCACGTCGCCATTGGTTTGCTCGGTTCCACGTCGGGTTGTTGTAACTTTTCTCGTGATCACCACGGTAGTACCATCGGGCATCGTTTTTGTATCGGTGGTGACGTTGCTCGATTGGTCGCCGGTATGTCTGATGGCGCCGTTAGTCTTCTTGTTTTGTTCGACGACGTTTTTGTTGACGACTTCCTTGTTGATCACTTCTTTGTTGATCACCTCTTTCTTGTCCACTTTACGAGTGTACGTGTTGTAGTTGCTTTGATTGGTCGTTTGCATTTTGGTTGTGTCGTCGCCGAGGGAAAAGTGAGATTCCATGTGTCGACGTTTGTTGACCACAGTACGACCACCGGCTGGAACGACAGGTGATTCCTTCTTGGGTGTCCTCTCGAAGGTTTCTTTGCTGGTGGTGACGCATTCCATTTTCCCAGATCCCACTTTGAGTTGGTCCTCGTGTTTCCTAATTTCAGCCCTTTCCCCTCTGACAACAGTGTACTGAGACTTGGCCATGGTTGTGTCTTGGAAGTCTCCGGTAATTTTGAGGTTATCTTGCGGCTTGACGATTTCCGCTCTTTCGCCCGGCCCGTACTTAGGTTTTGTTGGTGTTTGGAATTCCCCTTCCGGATGGAGATTGTCGGGGTGGCGGATGGGTGTTCTTCTTTCGCCAGGTCCGACTTTGGAAGGCGTAGGTCTTTCGAAGTCTCCTTCAGGGTGTAAGTTATCTGGGTGGCGGATGGGTGTTCTTCTTTCCCCAGGACCAACCTTAGATGGTGTAAGTCTTTCGAAATCGCCTTCAGGATGAAGGTTATCCTGAGGTTTCTTTGGAGTTGGTCTTTCAGCCGGGCGATATCCTGTTTTGTCCGGTCTTTCAAAGTCTCCTTCAGGATGTAAGTTATCTGCGTGACGGATGGGAGTTCTCCTCTCCCCAGGACCAACCTTGGACGGCGTAGGTCTCTCAAAATCTCCTTCAGGATGTAGGTTATCTGGGTGACGAATCGGGGTTCTCCTTTCACCCGGACCGACCTTGGATGGTGTAGGTCTCTCGAAGTCCCCTTCAGGGTGTAAATTATCGCCATGCTTAATGGGCCTTCTTCTTTCGCCCGGCCCAACTTTAGTGGGAGTTGGTCTTTCGAAGTCGCCCTCAAGTTTAAGGTTGTCTTCGTGGCGGATTATCTCCGTTCTTTCCGTCCTGGTGGCGAAATCGTCTCTCTTCCTGTACTCGTTAATTTCACCTTCCATCCTAAGATTATCCTGTCTAACGATGACTTCGGCCCTTTCGCCCCGCACCACGTTGTAATCATCTCTGGAGCGCGTGTCCGTAAACTCACCTTCAACTCGCAAGTTATCTTCGTGCTTGACAACTTCAGCTCTGTCAACAACGGTGACGTTCTTGTAGTCGTCTCTTCTTTGCATGTTCCATTCGCCCTCCATTTTGAGGTTGTCCTCTCTCCTGATAACCTCCACGTGTTCACCACGCACCACTTTATAGTCATCCCTTCTGGTGATGTCCATTCTTCCTTCAGATTTCAAATTATCCTCATGCCTGATAGGCTTTCGAAGTTCGCACGGACCAACTTCTTTAATCTCTGGACGTTCAAATTCTCCCTCGGGCTTGAGGTTATCTTCGGGTCTCTTTTGCTTAGGCCTTTCTGCAGGTTGGTATCCTGGTTTTTCAGGTCTGTCGAATTCGCCTTCAGGGCGAAGATTGTCGCCATGTTTAATGGGGGTTCTTCTCTCACCAGGACCAACTTTCGATGGAGTGGGCCTTTCGAATTCACCCTCTGGTCGGAGGTTGTCTTCTGGGCGTTTTTGCTGAGGTCTTTCTGCAGGTTGATAACCTGGTTTGTGTGGTCTTTCGAAGTCCCCTTCAGGGCGAAGATTATCGCCATGTTTGATGGGGGTTCTTCTCTCAGCAGGACCAACTTTCGATGGAGTGGGCCTTTCGAATTCACCCTCTGGTCGTAAATTGTCTTCTGGACGTTTTTGCTGAGGCCTTTCTGCAGGTTGGAAGCCTGGTTTTTCCGGTCTGTCGAATTCGCCTTCGGGGCGAAGATTGTCGCCATGTTTGATGGGGGTTCTTCTCTCAGCAGGACCAACTTTCGATGGAGTGGGCCTTTCGAATTCACCCTCTGGTCGGAGGTTGTCTTCTGGGCGTTTTTGCTGAGGTCTTTCTGCAGGTTGATAACCTGGTTTGTGTGGTCTTTCGAAGTCCCCTTCAGGGCGAAGATTATCGCCATGTTTGATGGGGGTTCTTCTCTCAGCAGGACCAACTTTCGATGGAGTGGGCCTTTCGAATTCACCCTCTGGTCGTAAATTGTCTTCTGGACGTTTTTGCTGAGGCCTTTCTGCAGGTTGGAAGCCTGGTTTTTCCGGTCTGTCGAATTCGCCTTCGGGGCGAAGATTGTCGCCATGTTTGATGGGGGTTCTTCTCTCAGCAGGACCAACTTTCGATGGAGTGGGCCTTTCGAATTCACCCTCTGGTCGGAGGTTGTCTTCTGGGCGTTTTTGCTGAGGTCTTTCTGCAGGTTGATAACCTGGTTTGTATGGTCTTTCGAAGTCACCTTCTGGGCGAAGATTATCGCCATGTTTGATGGGGGTTCTTCTTTCAGCAGGACCAACTTTTGATGGGGTGGGCCTTTCGAATTCACCCTCTGGTCGTAAATTGTCTTCTGGACGTTTTTGCTGAGGCCTTTCTGCAGGTTGGAAGCCTGGTTTTTCTGGTCTGTCGAATTCGCCTTCAGGGCGAAGATTGTCGCCATGTTTGATAGGGGTTCTTCTTTCAGCAGGACCAATTTTCGATGGAGTGGGCCTTTCGAATTCACCCTCTGGTCGTAAATTGTCTTCTGGACGTTTTTGCTTAGGCCTTTCTGCAGGTTGATAACCAGGTTTTTCTGGCCTTTCGAAGTCACCTTCGGGACGGAGATTATCGCCAGGTTTAATGGGAGTTCTCCTTTCGGCTGGCCCAACTTTAGATGGGGTTGGCCTTTCAAATTCACCCTCTGGACGAAGGTTGTCCTGTGGACGTTTTTGCTGAGGTCTTTCTGCAGGTTGGAAGCCTGGTTTTTCTGGCCTTTCAAAGTCGCCTTCTGGACGAAGATTGTCGCCATGTTTGATGGGGGTTCTTCTTTCAGCAGGACCAACTTTCGATGGAGTGGGCCTTTCGAATTCACCCTCTGGTCGTAAATTGTCTTCTGGACGTTTTTGCTGAGGTCTTTCAGCAGGTCTGAAGCCTGGTTTTTCTGGCCTTTCGAAGTCACCTTCTGGCCGAAGATTATCGCCAGGTTTAATTGGTGTCCTTCTTTCAGCAGGCCCAACTTTAGATGGGGTTGGCCTTTCAAACTCGCCTTCCGGTCTAAGATTATCCTCTGGTCGAACTTGTTTTGGACGTTCGGCTGGAGACCATTTCTCTGGAGTGCGTTTTTCAAATTCTCCCTCGGGTCTGAGATTGTCTTCTGGCCTCTTTTGTTGCGGTCTTTCGGCAGGGCGATAACCAGGTTTTTCGGGACGATCAAATTCTCCTTCTGGTCGCAAGTTGTCGTCATGTTTAATCGGAGTTCTTCTCTCACCGGGACCAACTTTTGTTGGGGTTGGCCGTTCGAATTCACCCTCTGGACGGAGGTTGTCTTCTGGGCGCTTTTGTTTGGGTCTTTCAGCAGGTTGATATCCTGGTTTTTCTGGTCTTTCGAATTCGCCTTCTGGTCGTAGATTGTCTCCATGTTTAATTGGGCTCCTACGTTCACCTGGACCAACTTTTGATGGGGTTGGCCGTTCGAATTCACCCTCTGGACGGAGATTGTCTTCTGGACGCTTTTGTTTGGGTCTTTCAGCAGGTTGATATCCTGGTTTTTCTGGCCTTTCGAATTCGCCTTCAGGTCTGAGATTGTCCTCTGGGCGTTTTTGTTGAGGTCTATCAGCTGGCGCCCATTTTGGTTTCTCCGGTCGTTGGAAGTCACCTTCTGGTCTAAGGTTATCATCGTGCTTGATGGGTTGGCGTTTCTCCGCCGGACCCACTTTACTTGGAGTGGGTCTTTCAAAATCGCCTTCAGGACGCAGATTATCTTCTGGTCGAATTTGTTCTGGACGTTCCGCTGGGCGAAACTTAGTTTTTTCTGGCCTTTCAAAGTCGCCTTCTGGGCGCAAGTTGTCTCCAGGTTTAATGGGAGTTCTCCTTTCTCCAGGTCCAACTTTAGTTGGAGTAGGCCTCTCGAAATCGCCCTCAGGTCTTAGATTATCTTCTGGTCGAATTTGTTTTGGGCGTTCAGCTGGCGACCACTTTTCAGGAGTGCGTTTTTCAAAATCGCCCTCAGGTCGAAGATTATCTTCTGGTCTCTTTTGTTGTGGGCGTTCCGCTGGGCGAAACTTGGTTTTCTCTGGCCTTTCAAAATCGCCTTCTGGCCGCAAGTTGTCACCAGGTTTAATGGGAGTTCTCCTTTCTCCAGGTCCAACTTTAGTTGGAGTTGGCCTCTCAAAATCGCCTTCAGGTCTTAGATTATCTTCTGGTCGAATCTGTTTTGGACGTTCAGCTGGCGACCACTTTTCAGGAGTGCGTTTTTCAAAATCTCCTTCAGGACGCAGATTATCCTCTGGTCTCTTTTGTTGTGGGCGTTCTGCTGGACGAAACTTGGTTTTCTCTGGCCTTTCAAAGTCGCCTTCTGGTCGCAAGTTGTCTCCAGGTTTAATGGGAGTTCTCCTTTCTCCAGGTCCAACTTTAGTTGGAGTAGGCCTTTCAAAATCGCCCTCAGGTCGTAAATTATCTTCTGGTCGAATTTGTTTTGGGCGTTCAGCCGGCGACCATTTTTCAGGAGTGCGTTTTTCAAAATCGCCTTCTGGTCGAAGATTATCTTCTGGTCGAATTTGTTCTGGACGTTCCGCTGGACGATATTTAGTTTTTTCTGGCCTTTCAAAGTCGCCTTCTGGTCGCAAGTTGTCACCAGGTTTAATGGGAGTTCTCCTTTCTCCAGGTCCAACTTTAGTTGGAGTAGGCCTTTCAAAATCGCCCTCAGGTCGTAAATTATCTTCTGGTCGAATTTGTTTTGGGCGTTCAGCCGGCGACCATTTTTCAGGAGTGCGTTTTTCAAAATCGCCTTCTGGTCGAAGATTATCTTCTGGTCGAATTTGTTCTGGACGTTCCGCTGGACGATATTTAGTTTTTTCTGGCCTTTCAAAGTCGCCTTCTGGTCGCAAGTTGTCTCCAGGTTTAATGGGAGTTCTCCTTTCTCCAGGTCCAACTTTAGTTGGAGTTGGCCTCTCAAAATCGCCCTCAGGTCTTAGATTATCTTCTGGTCGAATCTGTTTTGGACGTTCGGCAGGCGACCACTTCTCAGGAGTGCGTTTTTCAAAATCTCCTTCAGGACGCAGATTATCTTCTGGTCTCTTTTGTTGTGGGCGTTCCGCTGGACGAAACTTGGTTTTCTCCGGCCTTTCAAAGTCGCCTTCTGGGCGCAAGTTGTCTCCAGGTTTAATGGGAGTTCTTCTTTCTCCAGGTCCAACTTTAGTTGGAGTTGGTCTCTCAAAATCACCCTCAGGTCGTAAATTATCTTCTGGTCGAATCTGCTTTGGGCGTTCAGCTGGCGACCACTTCTCAGGAGTGCGTTTTTCAAAATCTCCTTCAGGACGCAGATTATCTTCTGGTCTCTTTTGTTGTGGGCGTTCCGCTGGGCGAAACTTGGTTTTCTCTGGCCTTTCAAAGTCGCCTTCTGGGCGCAAGTTGTCCCCAGGTTTAATGGGAGTTCTCCTTTCCCCTGGTCCAACTTTGGTCGGTGTTGGCCTCTCAAAATCGCCCTCAGGTCGTAAATTATCTTCTGGTCGTTTTTGCTGCGGTCTTTCTGCCGGTCTGTATTTAGGTTTCTCCGGCCTTTCAAATTCACCCTCGGGGCGCAGATTATCTCTATGAATGACGACAGTTTGACGGAAGTCAGTGGTATCAAAGTTCTTGTAAACGTCCTGAGATGTCGTGTACGTATCGGTATTTTGAGTGGAATAGAACTTTTCCACGTCATCCTTCGTCCAAGTTCTTCTCCTACGATCAACCTCAGGTGTTTTTTCGGTATATTCGATGGTCGTTGAGGTATCGAAAGTCATATCGCCTTCCACAGTTAGATTATCTTCACGTTTTGTGACTTTGGTGCGTTCCACAATCGTAGTGTAGTCGAAAGCTTGTTTACTGGTGGTTTCATCGATGAATTCGCCGGTTATCGTAATATTATCCTGCGGACGTTTCTGCACCGGTCTCTCAGCAGGTTCCCACTTCTCGGGCTCTGGTATCTCGAAACTGCCCTCGGGTCTCAGGTTATCCTCAGGCTTCTTCTGCTTCGGCCTTTCCGCAGGCCTCCACTCGTCAGGCTTGAACCTCTCAAAGTCGCCTTCAGGTTTGAGGTTGTCCTCTGGGCGCTTTTGTTGAGGACGTTCCGCTGGACTAAACTTGGTTTTCTCTGGCCTTTCAAAGTCGCCTTCTGGGCGCAAGTTGTCTCCAGGTTTAATGGGGGTTCTCCTTTCTCCAGGTCCAACTTTAGTTGGAGTTGGTCTCTCAAAATCGCCCTCAGGTCGTAAATTATCTTCTGGTCGAATTTGTTTTGGGCGTTCAGCTGGCGACCACTTCTCAGGAGTGCGTTTTTCAAAATCTCCTTCAGGACGCAGATTATCTTCTGGTCTCTTTTGTTGTGGGCGTTCTGCTGGGCGAAACTTGGTTTTCTCTGGCCTTTCAAAGTCACCTTCTGGGCGCAAGTTGTCCCCAGGTTTAATGGGAGTTCTCCTTTCTCCAGGTCCAACTTTGGTCGGTGTTGGCCTCTCAAAATCTCCCTCAGGTCGTAAATTATCTTCTGGTCGAATTTGTTTTGGGCGTTCAGCTGGCGACCACTTTTCAGGAGTGCGTTTTTCAAAATCGCCTTCAGGTCGCAGATTATCTTCTGGTCTCTTTTGTTGAGGGCGTTCTGCTGGACGAAACTTGGTTTTCTCTGGCCTTTCAAATTCACCTTCCGGGTGTAGGTTGTCTTTGGGTTTTTTTACCGGCGCTCTGTCGCCCGGTTTCCACTCTTCCGGCTTGAAGCGCTCGAACTCGCCCTCTGGATGCAAGTTATCCTGAGGCTTTTTGGGAGACGGTCTGTCACCTGGTTGCCACTTTTCGGGAGTCCTCCTCTCGAAGTCCCCCTCTGGCCTGAGGTTGTCTTGGGGCTTTTTGATGGGAGCCCTCTCGCCCGGTTGCCACGGTTCCGGCTTGCGTCTCTCGAACTCGCCCTCCGGACGCAGGTTGTCTTGGGGTATTTTGATGGGGGCCCGTTCTCCACGCGTAGCATTGTACTCGTCTTTCGGTTTTCCTGTCCAAGGGCCTTCCGGGTGCAGATGGTCGTTGTAGTCGTCCGGGTTGTGGGGGCAGCTATGACGGCTAAAAATTTATTTAATTAATATTTTTTATTGGTTTACATTAGGGTGATTCAAAAAAAAAATTCTTTTATTTTTTTTTCTCGGAAACACGCCCAAAAGTTTCGTATAGATATAAAAATGAGCCTGTGAAGAGATGAGCTCTTAATTTCAAAATTAAGATGCTCCGCATCGCACTTTTCGATTTTCCATAAGAATAACATGGGAAAAATTATTTTTGTTTCTTCTTATTTTTGTAACTAACGAACGATAGGTCATATTATAAAGTTATTGACATATTTTTGTAGAGAATTGAACGCTCTTATGATTTTTTGATAAATTTGATCCTTCTAAAGTAAGTAATTTAAGGTCAAAGTTCAAATTATACGAAATTTTTGGGTTTTTTAACTTTTTTGGCGAGTCTACCCGACTCATTAAAAAAATTGGAATATTTTTGTAGGGAATTAAACGCTCTACAAAAAAGTCTTAAGCCATTTTTCGGTAAATTAACTTGGTTAAAAGTTATTCAACGTTAAAGTAAAATTATCCGTTTTCTCGAAACAACTCCTAGATTTTTGAGTTCAAAGGGCTAAAAACGAATCGAAATATTGTTTTTCAGCTTTGGAAATTCGAAAAAAAATAACTATCGATATCTATTCGCTAAAAATTAAACAAAATTGAAAAAAAGAATAACCCTGCAAGCTATTTATGGAACTTTCTGCTACTTTTGGGTGAAATCGTTTAAAAATATTTCTACCATAAAATTTTGGAGCTTTTCGAGATCGTAATATCGATAGTTATGTTTTTTCGAATTTCCAGAGCTCAAAAACATTATTTCAATTCGTTTTTAGCCCTTTCAACTGAAAAATCTATGAATTTTTTCGAGAAAACGGCTAAATTGACGTTTAATTTCACTTTATTTAACCTTGAATAACTTTTATCGAAGTTAACTTAGTTAATGACTCTAGACCTTTTTTGTAGAGCGTTCAATTCTCTATAAAAATATTTCAAAAAATTTTAAATGAGTAGGGTAGACTCGCCAAAAAAAGTTAAAAAAAACACAAAAATTTCGTATAATTTGAACTTTGACCTTAAATTACTTTAGAAGGATCAAATTTATCAAAAAATCATAGGAAACCTTTTTTGTAGAGCTCAATTCTCAATTCTCTACAAAAATATGTCAAGAACTTTACAGTACGACCTATCGTTCGTTAGTTATAAAAATATGAAGAAACAAAAATAATTTTTTCCATTTTATTTTTATGGAAAATCGAAAAGTGCGATGCGGAGCATCTTAACTTTGAAATTAAGAGCTCATCTCTTCACAGGCTCATTTTTATATCTATACGAAACTTTTGAGCGTGTTTCCGAGAAAAAAAACAAAAGAAAGTTTTTTTTGAATCACCCTAGTTTACATATATTTAATAAATATGAAAGAGCAAATCTATCCTTAAAAAACTGTATTTTTTAAATTGCATAACATAGGGCACATAATAGTATATTAAGTATCAATAAACGCCATTTTAATTACAAAAGTTTATAAACAAGTTGCATACTATACTTTTTCTACGACAAATACTTAATATTACCTAAAAAAATGAAATATTTGTATAAAGCGACATCTATACCAAAATAAACCATCCAAATAAATATTTTTGACGTAATTTTCAGCGTTGCCAACCCTACGGATTTTTCCGTAGATCTACGGATTTTAAGGGTCATTAACGGATAACCGGATTTTGTCTGAAAATCTACGGATATTTGGACATTATCGCATAATTCATGAATACTTGATATTTTATGTATTAAAACCTGCGACAAGTAAAAAATTGCCATAAACCCTTTTTATATTTTCTAACTATTTCGCTCCGTCCAGTAAACGGCAGGTATAAAACCTTGCAGTGAACGTACTCATGGAACGTTTCATGGAACACACTCATTAGTTTAGGAATTTTGTGTTTGTTACCTGCAGGTTACCAGAAAAGATGCTGTGAAAAAAATGGCAACTAAAGTTTTAAATTTGTTTTGGTATCTATTTACATTTAAAAGTTTTTTATACATGCATCACACTATTAGTATCTAATTACATTGTTTATAAATATATGAATTTATGAAATGTGTAAATCTCATATACCTATAACTAGTTATAGGTATATGGTAAATCTTAAAAACGCCAAGCACTACTAAGAAAGCGCCACCTTGCGCAAAAATTTAATGTCAATGCTAAATAACTGAACAGCTAATAAATATTGAGTACCAATCAAAATTTTTAGTGAAAATTCGTAAATCTATCCAAGTGCCTGCCACCTCTGATCCCTGGTACGGATAAATTTCCGGATGTTACCCTTCACCCACGGATTTCTACGGATATTTGACTAGAGAACTCAGGATTTTTCGAACGAAAAGGTTGGCAACGCTGGTAATTTTCACCATTCTTATTTTAATTAATCTTAACAATTATTGCTACTTTAAAATATTAATAGTATATTAAAGAACTAATGTCATAAGACGTCATTTTGTCGCACACGGACAATTTATAAAACGAGCGACGAAGGACAAAAGGTTCTTTATGCTATTTTATCTATTTTGCAAAAATTCTTTAAAAAAATTAATTTTATACCTTAAATTTAATTTGGTCGAATTTTACTTTAATGTTAAAGAAGAAAAAAATTATTTTTTTTGGCGTTAAACAAAATTTATTGCCAGGAAAGTCTCGTAAGTACTAGAAAAATTATAAATATATTATAACCAATATGCAAAGTATTATGCTGTATAAAGTATAGCCAACCTATAAAATGTCATTGTGAACGCAAAATAGATAAAATAACTTTAAAATATGATTATGTTGGGAAAATATTTTATCCTTTGATTTTTGTATTACTATAATTTCAAAATATTATCACAGAGTAATAAAAATTCTTACACGGGAAATGTTAGGTTAGGTTAGGTTAGGTATAAAAAATTAAAATTTCTAACTTATTAATCTACCTGCGCGCAGTGGTCGAAAAAGATGGAAAAGCTGGCCAAAATTGAAAAAATCGTAAAAATTCGTAAAACAAAATACGGTATTCTATAAAGAATCTATTCCTGCACCAAATGCCAAAAAGATGTGGCTATGTTTTATCAATTTGGGCTTTGAGAAAGCGAGTAAGACCGCCATACCTGAGCGAGACGTTTCGGAACATCAAATTTTACGCGCTGTTAAAAGTGCTGTAGATTTTGTTTAAAGTGCGCGATTTCTTTATTTATCCCTTGAAAATAGACTAACAATCGATATAAAAGCAATTTTTCACAGTAAAAGTAATTTTTTTACGCTTTATCAGTTTAATCTAGCCCGTGACTAAAAACCTGTTGCTAACTTCAGCCCGTGACTAAATCGCCGTAAAGCCACAACTTGTCAACGTGTATTTAAAAATAATTATTTAAAATATTGTAGCTATGGTGCATATATAAATAGAAATGCAATTTTTTCACGATATTAATAAATCACAAGACCTTTACCTTTTGATATTTTTGGTGAGTTTCCGTAGTGCACTTTTATTAAAGGTTCTTAAAATATTCATAAATTAAAATTTCACCTATAGCTTGTTATAAAACAAAACTGAACTGAATCAAACTATTGATCGATTTATTTAACAACTGAACTGAACAATCCACTTAATAAATTAATCCTTATTACAAGAACAAACACGTTTTATTTAACAGTAATTCGATGAACGTAACACAATGTAAAACGGGGGAGAAAAAGCGCCGCGACGCTGACCCCGAGTAACGTCGGTAGACGTACTGAACGGGTTGTTTGACTGACACGGTGGCCTACTAAGCGACACAGTAATGTAATTGGGGAAGATAACACCCTAAACTACCACAAAAAATTGTGTATTGAATATTAAATATTTTTTTGAATTTCTTATTTAAGGTTAATGTTTTTTTCATTCTGTTATCAGTTTTTTTAATAACCAAAGATTTTAATGATTTTTTTAAATGGTTTAATAATAATAATAATCAATCCTTTAAGCTAATAGCTACATTAAAATTTCCCAATCAATAGGTAATTTCTAAAATTACAACTTCGATTTATTTTATGTTAATAGTGAAAATTACGTCAAAAGTAAGTAAAGTAAGTAAGGTAAAGTGGACAGTTATTGGACACTTTATAGTTATTGGACAATTTTTTAAGATTTATGTTTCTAAAAAGTTTACAGATCAGTGTGTGGTATAAATTTGTTCCTCATAGTTTAAACATTGTCACTTTAATGCGTTTTAATTTTAATTCTGAAAACAAACAGTAAAATGGCCAGTGTCCAATTACTGGTTGGTAAAAAATGTAAATTTTTATTATTCGACATATGTCCAATATCATACTCTATTGGTATCCCGGACATTTACCAGCCAATTCTTATGTAAAATTGTCCCCTGAATCCGAAAAACCGTCAAAAACTATAAAAGTTACTCAGTTTTTGAAATTATATGCAAAATTGATTATATTTCAAAAACTGTTCTACTTTTATAACTTTTGTCGACATTTTCGGATTTAGTGAATAATATTTCATAGGAATTGATTGCTAAATGTCCTGGATACAAATTGCTGTTGACGAGAATTATTAGTGGCTGCTTTTTCGCTATGACATTTTTGACTAATTCATTTTTAAAGAGTAAGTAATATAGTGATTTCTTCGTCACAGGACATCTTGCAGAATAACAGTGATTTAAATACAGTGCATGATAGAGAACATAAAAAACTAATGGCAATAAAATTTATAAATTCGGAAAATACTTTTAACATACCACCCGAAAAAATATTAGATATATATATAAATCATCCTGTTCCGGCGTAAACATTATAAATGCTTCACAAACTAGAGATGCAACACTTAATGATATTTGCAACAAACTATTTCAGAAGTCAGATCAAGGAATTAGTAGTTACCTTCAGAATCCAGAAAAGGGATGGGGAATCCGAGAAAGAATTATATGAATTGTATGATATTTACAAAAAATATTTAACAATTTATATTATTTGAT